TCCCCTAATCAAAAATAAATACCTAAGTCCTCTAACTAAAGCAGATAGGGAAGTAGGGTCGAACCCCACAGGGAAAAAAGTCTTTCTATTCCTAATTAACTAATATAATCTAGATTATGAAGTAACCAAAATATAAGTTGAATATGAAACTAAACTACGAAGAATGAGAATAAGGAGAAAACAATATATAAAAAGATCTAGGGGATAGGTTCACCAATAAATAATACTCCAGGGTAAAACATAATAATCAATCATTGACATTGCATAAATAACATGATTAACAGGCTCTCGCAATTTATTAATCAACATGGATCTAACAGGCTCTCGCAATTTACTAGATCTAAGTTCCTATTGAAAATAGTTTTTAATATCAAATTAACATCTGTTCGATTCATCAATTCAATATTGCTATACTTTTACAAGCCATAATTGTAGAGCGTTAAAAAAATTCAATAAGAAGTTATCATGCAATAGCAAAAATCAATAATAGTCCATCATCAATGCATCAATTAACCAGATCGTAAAGGGCTTTCGCTACGTATTACAATCACAGAATTAATCTACCGGCATTAAATCTCATCTCTCGAATCTCGACTTAACAATTTATAAATTAATCTGCCTATTGAAGCTAGACCTAAACATCAATCCTCATCTGTTGAATCTCGAATCAATATTATTAAACTCATGCATAAAAGATCTGCGCAAATCTAATCACAGAGCATTAAATCAATCAATAGGAAATTAATCTAGCATTGATAATTAACAACAATAAATTACCCCTTCATAGTTCATATCATTCATGGATCCCCATAAACCCAGAATTAAACTACTCACACATAATAGAAACTAAACTAATCAAAGCAATAAAGTAAGACATAATCAAAGGAATATAATAAACAACTAAGATTAAGAGAAGAGAAATAGTTACCAAACAAATCTGGAATTAAGAATGGATTAAGAACAAAGGTTTAAGAGGGAGAGAATCTAAGAAAACAATTAAGAGAGTAAAGAGAGAGAGAGCAAAATCGTATTACGGAGGAATATTTATACTCCGTACAAATCCTAAACTAAAACAAACTAAAGCGATGCTAATCGTCTCCTAACAAATACACACGCCCGATCGGGCGCGCCTTTTTGCTTCCTCAATACTAATCTCGCGCCCGGCCGGGCGCGTCACCGGGCGCCAACCTTAGCTTCTCCCGCCCGGCCGGGCGCGCCTCCGGGCGCCAGCCTCTTTAGCCGGGCGGCTCACTTGGGCCACTATTTGGACTACGATTGGGCCCCAATTCTTCGGGCCAATCTGGGTGTCCTCTTCCGGTCTTGAATACTCGGTCCAAATGCCCCGGTATCACCTATACCGAGCCCTTAATCACCGGTTCGATGGCTCTAACCGGCCCTGGGCTATATAATCTTGTCGTGCTTCTCCAATGTTCGTGATTGCTCCAAAATATCTCGGGAAAATACTCCAAAAGCATAAATCCCTGCAAAAGTCAACTAAATCTACGAAAACACTAGAAAACACCAATTTGTAATAAAAGTGGCTCTAAAGAGCCAAAAACACTACTAATTATGACCAAGGGACGGGGGTAAAATACTATATAAAACAGACACATCATCCCCCTCCAAATTCGACCTTGCTAACCACCTCAATCCCCCGATTTCAGCGTCGCTGACCTCTGATTTGTCGAGTTTGAAGTCCGGGATTACAACAACTCCGAATACCTCGACCCCAATTGCATATATACCTTATTGTGGGTATCTATCATTTCACCTCATCTACTTTGATGGTAGCAAACATGGCGGCAGCGAAGGTGGCGATGACTATGGCGGCAAAGGTGACGATGACGACAACGTTGAAAGGAAATATATGAGGACTTGCAGTTGGTAACGGAGAGGGAGAAGGGGGTTGAGGGTTTGATGGAGGAGAGAGAATTTGAAGGTTTGTTAATGGTGGAAATGTTTAGTTTTGAGGAAAGATAAAGATACGGGATGAAAGTAGAGTCATTGGGTTAACTTTTGCATTTTGTATTTTTTTTTTATTTTTTTTTATTTTGATACTCTGTTTTTGTGAAGAAAAAAAGGGTCACTTTTGTGGAAAAAAAAAATTCACTTTTGTGAAAAAAGGGTCACTTTTGTAAAAAAAAATAAAATAAAATAAAATAAAAGTCACTTTTGTGAAAATATGGGTCACTTCTCGCAAAAATGTTCGATGTACAATGATAATAAGAGGATTCGAACACCCAACCTTTTATAAGAAAGATAGTTACTTAACCATCTAAGCCAATCATAAGCTATGTTATATAAATGTATATAATTAATAATCACAAGGTCTAATTAAAGTAGCAACCGGTGCAACGCCCGGGCTACACACTACTTTTCTAATTAAGAACAAGATGGAGTGAATTTTTCAAAAACTTGATATGTAATTACTTATGCTTGTTTACCTTCTCCTTATCCCTCGCTTTCCTTTCCTTTCCCTCTTTGACTCTTTTTATAACACCCCGACCCCAAACAAACTAGGGAGGGGCCTATTGTCACGAAATGCGCATCAAGGGTCAACAACTGTCCTCACAAACCAACACGAGTCCTTCCAGCACATTTTGTCTTCACTCATGCGCACCCTAGGATGAAAAACTTCCCAGGAGGTCACTCCTCCCAAGACTAATCTAAGCCAAGCAGCTCTCTAAAAAGAAGATGCATCTTGTTGATATGAATAGTATATCAAATCTTTTTAAAGCAATTATGAGAAGTATTACATTTTTTCCTTCTTATCTCATTTCTCTTCACCATTGTTATCCAAACCTAGTTTTAGTTCGACTCATACCAAATCTCAAATCATCATTTGCTTATATTTCCTCGTTATCATTACCTACTGAAATGTTAATAAGAATATCTTTTTATCATGGATGATTACGTATTTTGTTTGTATGGTCGATTATTATGTTAGTTGTATTGGGATTAAATTTGTATGATTGATTAAGCATGCTCTAACCCAACATGGTAAGTTTTTTTATTCCTTTTGGTAACACTTTATAAATTTACTCTTGTTATTGTCCACTTGTTTGAAAAAACGTAACATTACTTTAATTTCCAAATACATATTGTTTAATAAAATATATTATTGAGCTGCTCATGAGGTAATCGTGTCAACTTAAAGCTTGCTCAACTCGTGCTCATTATTTTTTCAAATTGGATCGTGTGTTTGGCGATTTTTTACCAAGCTTTGATTGAGTCGAGCTGGAATTGCTCAAGTCGATTAGCAACCCTAGGCAAAAATTCCAAATCCGACTCGTAACAAAATGTAATTTCAACTTTGACAATTTAAACAATCCCAAGCTTGTTACATTTGTCACTTGAATGAACTAATCATGTTATAACTTTGTAGTTTTATTTACAAATACTAGTATATATTTAAAGTGAATAAACAATAGAGTTTGATCATAAAATCCAAACTTCAGTTTGCTGTTTTTTTGTTTGTTTGTTTGTTTGTTTTTTTTTTCAATTTATAATGGCTTGTGTCACTATTCAAAAATTATATTTTAATTATTTTAGGTGAATTAGCTTATTCAATAAGGGTGCTTGGTATACAACACTAGTCACGCATCATGCTTATTAATTACTTTAATTAATTTTTTCTCAATTTTTGGCCGAAACTAGTTCATCCACATCTCAATTTACCACGCCAATATTTGAAAATGATGTTCACAAATATATACTCCCTCCATTTCTATTAAATTGCCCTACTTTGGCTTTGATATTTTTCACACGCACCTCTTTGACCAATATTCGTGGTTTATGTACTTCGTACTCCGTATAAGATTAATGTACAAGTACTCATTAAAATTGTATCAATGCATAGTTTTTCAAATATCAATTTTTTTTTTTATAATTTACAATTACATCTATTAACTATTGCTTAAACATAAATTGTTGACATCACCATTATCCACGTGTCGCTTTTTTAATAAAAAAAAATCCGCCTAAATGCAATGATGATGTCATTTTTTTTTGGAAAACAACCATATTTAACATTTTTGTAATTTAAATATTGAAAGCTTCTACATTACATTATTACAACTATCGTAGGAAATTGAAACAATTTTAAATAATGCACTAATAAATTACCTCCTACATTGAATTGAATTAGATCAGACAACGTTGAATTAATACTATATCATAATTTTGATTAAAATAAAAAATTTTAAAATTACAAAATATACGTAATTCTTATTTATATTCATGTATAATAGCGATTATTTTTAAAATATACAAATTAAAAATAGGCTTTATATAAATTGTGCATTGCACGGGTTCTAACCTAGTGGTTTGATAATGAAAGATATCATTGGAATTTCACATTAGCAAATGTGTTATTATTATTATTGTTATTATTATTATTATTAAACAGAGCAAATGTGTTTTACTAAAATGACACTTAAATAATAACAGAGCGAGACTATGGCTTTATTTGATAGTAGAGTTTGAGGTAGCGGTTAGCGTTTTGACCAGTCAAAACACTATTACAAAAAATTTCTGAGTGTTTGGCAAGGTAGCGATTCTAGTAGCAGTTAGCGATAGTGGTAACATTTAGGTATCTTTTCTCAAACGTCAAAAATAGTAGCGTTTAGAAGTAGCAGGTAGCGTTTGACAAATTTTATTCCTACTTTTAAAACAATAATTACATGAATTTTGATATATATTAGTATTGCAACCGCTACTTTTGCCAAACACTCATACTATCAACCGTTACCTTTACAGCTAACCTCTACCCACTACTAATTGACCGTTACTCGCTACCTTAACAGCTACCCGCTGCTAAAAGTTACCCGTTACCGCTACTTTTGTTAAACATGACCTATCTTAAAACCCTCCCACAACCAAGTGGGCAATAAACTTTTCACCTGTAACGGCTCAAAGGTCTTACGTCCTATATTCCTTCCTTGATCACCCCCCTTTCACACCTGAACCGTTCCAATATTCTTGTATACCGACATTTCTCACAACCCCACCCAAAACATCTCCATTATCAAATCAGAAAGAAACTCATTAAAACACAAAACAATAGTTTCGTTTTTTCCACAATTAATCCCCAACATTAAAATGTTCAATTCATAAACTCCTCCCAAAATTAATTAATTTTCATTAAATGGGTAACTCCCACTTTAACACTCGCAAAAACCGGCATCATCATCATCATCAACAACAGGTGGAACAATCTTCTTCATCAATTCCTCCTCCTTCAAATCCCAACTATATATACCCACCTCCTCCTCCCAACTATCCATATCCGTACAATCCTCAACCTCAACCTCAATCTTATTCTTCTTCAATGGCGCTTACCTTGCCTTACTCCCATGTCGACTCCTGTTTACGCGCTCTCGCTCAACAAGCTCAGGGTTTCGGTCGATTTTCCGTTGGCGGCCTTCATGGTCCCCTTTTCCTTGTCACCTCCCTCTCCGGTTCGTCTTCGTCTTTCTTAACATTTTTCATACAATTTTCGATTTTGATTGGAATTTTCGTACTTTCGTGATCGTTTTTATTTTGTTTACTTAGCGCTTAGGGCTGCATATATCATTTTCCTATTGGAATTGGGATTTGGGATGCATGTATTACGTTTTTGTTTTGTTTGATTAGCGCTTAGGGCTGTATATATAGTTAAGTAGAATTCATTAAAGACAATCAAAGCATAGTGTCTGAATACTGAAATACTGAATACTTGAATAGTGTAAAAGTTGGAAACGTTGCAGTAAAAATAAACGTAAGAAATAAGCTCTTTTGAGAATTGTTACTATGAATTTGAGAATTGTTGTGATGAATTGATAGTAATATGGATGTTGTGTTGGTGTAGATGATGGGCCAGGGTCGCTAAGGGAAGCGTGTCGAAAGAAGGAACCACTCTGGATTGTATTTGAAGTTTCGGGTACCATTGAGCTGAAGTCGCACTTGAATGTATCGTCTTATAAGACGATAGATGGACGTGGACAAAGGATTAAGTTCACAGGGAAAGGGTTAAGGCTCAAGGAGTGTGAGCATGTGATTATATGCAATCTTGAATTTGAAGGTGGGAGGGGACATGATGTAGATGGGATTCAGATTAAGCCGAATTCTAAGCATATATGGATTGATCGTTGCACCTTGCGTGATTATGATGATGGTCTCATCGATATCACCAGGCAGAGTACTGATATCACTATTTCTAGGTCAGTCACTAGATCTTGGAACTTATTTTACATTTTGATTGCAAGATCATTTAACTGTTCATTTCTTCCAATTTTAAAGAGGTATTTGCTAACTTCTTGTAATGTTTAATATGGAATACCTTGGAGCTCATCATAACTATTGTTTATACTGTGTTTGTAATTTGAATTTGGAATACCTTTAAGTGTAGTTTTGGTATTGGATTTGCATTATTTGTGTCGAATTCCTGATAAAGTGACTATTTTTTGTTGCCCAAGAACATCTGTTCATTCTTTTGGAGGGGGAGTAATATGCTTAGCTATAGTTAATTGGTTCAATATCTCTCTTCTGTTCCACAGGTGTCATTTCTCTCAGCATGACAAAACAATGCTCATTGGAGCAGATCCATCTCATGTTGATGATAGATGCATTCGGGTGACTATTCACCACTGTTTTTTTGATGGAACCCGACAAAGACATCCTCGTGTAAGATATGGGAAAGTTCATCTTTACAACAATTACACCAGGGGTTGGGGTATTTATGCTGTCTGTGCCAGTGTAGAATCTCAGGTTCTGAGCTACAACCTTAAAACCAGCTTCTTTCTTGTAGAATTTAGTTTACATGTGTAATGGCTTAACTTATAAAACTACTCTGTGCCCAGATTTATTCTCAGTGCAACATTTATGAAGCTGATAAGAAGAAAACAGCTTTTCTTTACTACACAGAGAAGGTAAACTCTTTCTCTTCTTTCTACCTTTGTCTTTCCTTGTGATACAGATAATGGAAATTTAATTATCCAATACCAGAAGGGTAGCAGTGATATTGGTGTTATTTTGTTAGTATTCTTTCTGAGATCAAGCTCATTGCAAAGTGCAATAGCCTTCTGATATGAATTGGAAGGTTGACAGTAAGAAACTAGTGAAGCAGATGCATTATAATGCATGACTACGATGATTCCAATTCACTTTCTTTTATGATGAATAGCATAGCTTATGTCTCTTATTATGTGATGTGCATGCTATCTTCACTTTAATGCAGTTGACTTTCTTGTCAATTGTTCAGAGTATATTCCTATTGTCTCCTGCTTTACATGATCTGCATAATATGTACTGTACTTAATTAGTACTTTGTAGTTTCTATTGGAGCTTAGTTGATTTTTTGTATCTGTTCGTGTTTATTGACGTTGGATCCCCACACATCCATCTATAATAATGATCCGTTTCATTGCATCAGGGCTGAAAATTGTAATCAGTATAATTGCTTCACTCAGGAATGGAGGTTCTAAGTGAACAAAGAGTATTGTTGGTAAAATATATGGATAAGATTTTGGTAATCCATATTTTAGGTTATATTGGCCTTCCAAAAAAGCATAGTATGTAACTGATGATTAAATTTGGTTTATATATGCAAGTTTGACGTTTCATTTAATTGTCACAATTGGATGGATTGTGTTTGGGTGGAGGAGCATTTGATTGGGCAGGGTTGGGGACTAGGGTCAGTGGGTGACTCTCTGGATTTTACCTCATCTATATTATGAGTACCTTTCAAGATCCACGATAAACTTTTTGAGTAAATTTGTTTCCTTTGACAGCTACACCTGAATTAAATACCTGTTGTTTTCTTTCGGCAGATTTTTAGGGGATTGAGAATCTGAACTATGCACGATTGCACACAGATGCATTTCACATGCTTAACAGTGCGCTTCATAGTGTGTACATTATCTTCTGTATTGAATGCTAAGGTTCAACAATAAATTTAGAACCGACAGGCTAGCTCTTGTTAGACACCTGCGATAATATATGTGCATTTGCTGAGATGTCTGTCATTTTTGTTTTTTTTGGTGTTTAGAGAGCCACAAGGGCGGGGGTGAGAATCGATCCCAAGATCTCTTGGGATCAGGATGGAAGTTCTAACCGCTTGAGCTATCCCTCACTCTCATGTTGTCTGTCATTTCTCGAGGGATTTATCCTATATGCACCATTATGTTGCTGAACAATAGTTTCTAGGGGTGCTTTGATACTTGTGCATAACATTTGAGTGAATAAAGAAATAGTTCCCAGTTCACATGCAGATGCATTTTTGGGGAATTACTCGTAACTAATAGTGATTATTATTGAACATTTCTGTCAATTTACCAGCTTGCCTTCTGATGCAGGCTGCTGATAAAGAACAAGAAGCAACTGGGAGCATAATATGGATGTTGTGTTGGTGTAGATGATGGGCCAGGGTCGCTAAGGGAAGCGTGTCGAAAGAAGGAATCACTCTGGATTGTATTTGAAGTTTCGGGTACCATTGAGCTGAAGTCGCACTTGAATGTATCGTCTTATAAGACGATAGATGGACGTGGACAAAGGATTAAGTTCACAGGGAAAGGGTTAAGGCTCAAGGAGTGTGAGCATGTGATTATATGCAATCTTGAATTTGAAGGTGGGAGGGGACATGATGTAGATGGGATTCAGATTAAGCCGAATTCTAAGCATATATGGATTGATCGTTGCACCTTGCGTGATTATGATGATGGTCTCATCGATATCACCAGGCAGAGTACTGATATCACTATTTCTAGGTCAGTCACTAGATCTTGGAACTTATTTTACATTTTGATTGCAAGATCATTTAACTGTTCATTTCTTCCAATTTTAAAGAGGTATTTGCTAACTTCTTGTAATGTTTAATATGGAATACCTTGGAGCTCATCATAACTATTGTTTATACTGTGTTTGTAATTTGAATTTGGAATACCTTTAAGTGTAGTTTTGGTATTGGATTTGCATTATTTGTGTCGAATTCCTGATAAAGTGACTATTTTTTGTTGCCCAAGAACATCTGTTCATTCTTTTGGAGGGGGAGTAATATGCTTAGCTATAGTTAATTGGTTCAATATCTCTCTTCTGTTCCACAGGTGTCATTTCTCTCAGCATGACAAAACAATGCTCATTGGAGCAGATCCATCTCATGTTGATGATAGATGCATTCGGGTGACTATTCACCACTGTTTTTTTGATGGAACCCGACAAAGACATCCTCGTGTAAGATATGGGAAAGTTCATCTTTACAACAATTACACCAGGGGTTGGGGTATTTATGCTGTCTGTGCCAGTGTAGAATCTCAGGTTCTGAGCTACAACCTTAAAACCAGCTTCTTTCTTGTAGAATTTAGTTTACATGTGTAATGGCTTAACTTATAAAACTACTCTGTGCCCAGATTTATTCTCAGTGCAACATTTATGAAGCTGATAAGAAGAAAACAGCTTTTCTTTACTACACAGAGAAGGTAAACTCTTTCTCTTCTTTCTACCTTTGTCTTTCCTTGTGATACAGATAATGGAAATTTAATTATCCAATACCAGAAGGGTAGCAGTGATATTGGTGTTATTTTGTTAGTATTCTTTCTGAGATCAAGCTCATTGCAAAGTGCAATAGCCTTCTGATATGAATTGGAAGGTTGACAGTAAGAAACTAGTGAAGCAGATGCATTATAATGCATGACTACGATGATTCCAATTCACTTTCTTTTATGATGAATAGCATAGCTTATGTCTCTTATTATGTGATGTGCATGCTATCTTCACTTTAATGCAGTTGACTTTCTTGTCAATTGTTCAGAGTATATTCCTATTGTCTCCTGCTTTACATGATCTGCATAATATGTACTGTACTTAATTAGTACTTTGTAGTTTCTATTGGAGCTTAGTTGATTTTTTGTATCTGTTCGTGTTTATTGACGTTGGATCCCCACACATCCATCTATAATAATGATCCGTTTCATTGCATCAGGGCTGAAAATTGTAATCAGTATAATTGCTTCACTCAGGAATGGAGGTTCTAAGTGAACAAAGAGTATTGTTGGTAAAATATATGGATAAGATTTTGGTAATCCATATTTTAGGTTATATTGGCCTTCCAAAAAAGCATAGTATGTAACTGATGATTAAATTTGGTTTATATATGCAAGTTTGACGTTTCATTTAATTGTCACAATTGGATGGATTGTGTTTGGGTGGAGGAGCATTTGATTGGGCAGGGTTGGGGACTAGGGTCAGTGGGTGACTCTCTGGATTTTACCTCATCTATATTATGAGTACCTTTCAAGATCCACGATAAACTTTTTGAGTAAATTTGTTTCCTTTGACAGCTACACCTGAATTAAATACCTGTTGTTTTCTTTCGGCAGATTTTTAGGGGATTGAGAATCTGAACTATGCACGATTGCACACAGATGCATTTCACATGCTTAACAGTGCGCTTCATAGTGTGTACATTATCTTCTGTATTGAATGCTAAGGTTCAACAATAAATTTAGAACCGACAGGCTAGCTCTTGTTAGACACCTGCGATAATATATGTGCATTTGCTGAGATGTCTGTCATTTTTGTTTTTTTTGGTGTTTAGAGAGCCACAAGGGCGGGGGTGAGAATCGATCCCAAGATCTCTTGGGATCAGGATGGAAGTTCTAACCGCTTGAGCTATCCCTCACTCTCATGTTGTCTGTCATTTCTCGAGGGATTTATCCTATATGCACCATTATGTTGCTGAACAATAGTTTCTAGGGGTGCTTTGATACTTGTGCATAACATTTGAGTGAATAAAGAAATAGTTCCCAGTTCACATGCAGATGCATTTTTGGGGAATTACTCGTAACTAATAGTGATTATTATTGAACATTTCTGTCAATTTACCAGCTTGCCTTCTGATGCAGGCTGCTGATAAAGAACAAGAAGCAACTGGGAGCATAATATGGATGTTGTGTTGGTGTAGATGATGGGCCAGGGTCGCTAAGGGAAGCGTGTCGAAAGAAGGAATCACTCTGGATTGTATTTGAAGTTTCGGGTACCATTGAGCTGAAGTCGCACTTGAATGTATCGTCTTATAAGACGATAGATGGACGTGGACAAAGGATTAAGTTCACAGGGAAAGGGTTAAGGCTCAAGGAGTGTGAGCATGTGATTATATGCAATCTTGAATTTGAAGGTGGGAGGGGACATGATGTAGATGGGATTCAGATTAAGCCGAATTCTAAGCATATATGGATTGATCGTTGCACCTTGCGTGATTATGATGATGGTCTCATCGATATCACCAGGCAGAGTACTGATATCACTATTTCTAGGTCAGTCACTAGATCTTGGAACTTATTTTACATTTTGATTGCAAGATCATTTAACTGTTCATTTCTTCCAATTTTAAAGAGGTATTTGCTAACTTCTTGTAATGTTTAATATGGAATACCTTGGAGCTCATCATAACTATTGTTTATACTGTGTTTGTAATTTGAATTTGGAATACCTTTAAGTGTAGTTTTGGTATTGGATTTGCATTATTTGTGTCGAATTCCTGATAAAGTGACTATTTTTTGTTGCCCAAGAACATCTGTTCATTCTTTTGGAGGGGGAGTAATATGCTTAGCTATAGTTAATTGGTTCAATATCTCTCTTCTGTTCCACAGGTGTCATTTCTCTCAGCATGACAAAACAATGCTCATTGGAGCAGATCCATCTCATGTTGATGATAGATGCATTCGGGTGACTATTCACCACTGTTTTTTTGATGGAACCCGACAAAGACATCCTCGTGTAAGATATGGGAAAGTTCATCTTTACAACAATTACACCAGGGGTTGGGGTATTTATGCTGTCTGTGCCAGTGTAGAATCTCAGGTTCTGAGCTACAACCTTAAAACCAGCTTCTTTCTTGTAGAATTTAGTTTACATGTGTAATGGCTTAACTTATAAAACTACTCTGTGCCCAGATTTATTCTCAGTGCAACATTTATGAAGCTGATAAGAAGAAAACAGCTTTTCTTTACTACACAGAGAAGGTAAACTCTTTCTCTTCTTTCTACCTTTGTCTTTCCTTGTGATACAGATAATGGAAATTTAATTATCCAATACCAGAAGGGTAGCAGTGATATTGGTGTTATTTTGTTAGTATTCTTTCTGAGATCAAGCTCATTGCAAAGTGCAATAGCCTTCTGATATGAATTGGAAGGTTGACAGTAAGAAACTAGTGAAGCAGATGCATTATAATGCATGACTACGATGATTCCAATTCACTTTCTTTTATGATGAATAGCATAGCTTATGTCTCTTATTATGTGATGTGCATGCTATCTTCACTTTAATGCAGTTGACTTTCTTGTCAATTGTTCAGAGTATATTCCTATTGTCTCCTGCTTTACATGATCTGCATAATATGTACTGTACTTAATTAGTACTTTGTAGTTTCTATTGGAGCTTAGTTGATTTTTTGTATCTGTTCGTGTTTATTGACGTTGGATCCCCACACATCCATCTATAATAATGATCCGTTTCATTGCATCAGGGCTGAAAATTGTAATCAGTATAATTGCTTCACTCAGGAATGGAGGTTCTAAGTGAACAAAGAGTATTGTTGGTAAAATATATGGATAAGATTTTGGTAATCCATATTTTAGGTTATATTGGCCTTCCAAAAAAGCATAGTATGTAACTGATGATTAAATTTGGTTTATATATGCAAGTTTGACGTTTCATTTAATTGTCACAATTGGATGGATTGTGTTTGGGTGGAGGAGCATTTGATTGGGCAGGGTTGGGGACTAGGGTCAGTGGGTGACTCTCTGGATTTTACCTCATCTATATTATGAGTACCTTTCAAGATCCACGATAAACTTTTTGAGTAAATTTGTTTCCTTTGACAGCTACACCTGAATTAAATACCTGTTGTTTTCTTTCGGCAGATTTTTAGGGGATTGAGAATCTGAACTATGCACGATTGCACACAGATGCATTTCACATGCTTAACAGTGCGCTTCATAGTGTGTACATTATCTTCTGTATTGAATGCTAAGGTTCAACAATAAATTTAGAACCGACAGGCTAGCTCTTGTTAGACACCTGCGATAATATATGTGCATTTGCTGAGATGTCTGTCATTTTTGTTTTTTTTGGTGTTTAGAGAGCCACAAGGGCGGGGGTGAGAATCGATCCCAAGATCTCTTGGGATCAGGATGGAAGTTCTAACCGCTTGAGCTATCCCTCACTCTCATGTTGTCTGTCATTTCTCGAGGGATTTATCCTATATGCACCATTATGTTGCTGAACAATAGTTTCTAGGGGTGCTTTGATACTTGTGCATAACATTTGAGTGAATAAAGAAATAGTTCCCAGTTCACATGCAGATGCATTTTTGGGGAATTACTCGTAACTAATAGTGATTATTATTGAACATTTCTGTCAATTTACCAGCTTGCCTTCTGATGCAGGCTGCTGATAAAGAACAAGAAGCAACTGGGAGCATAATATGGATGTTGTGTTGGTGTAGATGATGGGCCAGGGTCGCTAAGGGAAGCGTGTCGAAAGAAGGAATCACTCTGGATTGTATTTGAAGTTTCGGGTACCATTGAGCTGAAGTCGCACTTGAATGTATCGTCTTATAAGACGATAGATGGACGTGGACAAAGGATTAAGTTCACAGGGAAAGGGTTAAGGCTCAAGGAGTGTGAGCATGTGATTATATGCAATCTTGAATTTGAAGGTGGGAGGGGACATGATGTAGATGGGATTCAGATTAAGCCGAATTCTAAGCATATATGGATTGATCGTTGCACCTTGCGTGATTATGATGATGGTCTCATCGATATCACCAGGCAGAGTACTGATATCACTATTTCTAGGTCAGTCACTAGATCTTGGAACTTATTTTACATTTTGATTGCAAGATCATTTAACTGTTCATTTCTTCCAATTTTAAAGAGGTATTTGCTAACTTCTTGTAATGTTTAATATGGAATACCTTGGAGCTCATCATAACTATTGTTTATACTGTGTTTGTAATTTGAATTTGGAATACCTTTAAGTGTAGTTTTGGTATTGGATTTGCATTATTTGTGTCGAATTCCTGATAAAGTGACTATTTTTTGTTGCCCAAGAACATCTGTTCATTCTTTTGGAGGGGGAGTAATATGCTTAGCTATAGTTAATTGGTTCAATATCTCTCTTCTGTTCCACAGGTGTCATTTCTCTCAGCATGACAAAACAATGCTCATTGGAGCAGATCCATCTCATGTTGATGATAGATGCATTCGGGTGACTATTCACCACTGTTTTTTTGATGGAACCCGACAAAGACATCCTCGTGTAAGATATGGGAAAGTTCATCTTTACAACAATTACACCAGGGGTTGGGGTATTTATGCTGTCTGTGCCAGTGTAGAATCTCAGGTTCTGAGCTACAACCTTAAAACCAGCTTCTTTCTTGTAGAATTTAGTTTACATGTGTAATGGCTTAACTTATAAAACTACTCTGTGCCCAGATTTATTCTCAGTGCAACATTTATGAAGCTGATAAGAAGAAAACAGCTTTTCTTTACTACACAGAGAAGGTAAACTCTTTCTCTTCTTTCTACCTTTGTCTTTCCTTGTGATACAGATAATGGAAATTTAATTATCCAATACCAGAAGGGTAGCAGTGATATTGGTGTTATTTTGTTAGTATTCTTTCTGAGATCAAGCTCATTGCAAAGTGCAATAGCCTTCTGATATGAATTGGAAGGTTGACAGTAAGAAACTAGTGAAGCAGATGCATTATAATGCATGACTACGATGATTCCAATTCACTTTCTTTTATGATGAATAGCATAGCTTATGTCTCTTATTATGTGATGTGCATGCTATCTTCACTTTAATGCAGTTGACTTTCTTGTCAATTGTTCAGAGTATATTCCTATTGTCTCCTGCTTTACATGATCTGCATAATATGTACTGTACTTAATTAGTACTTTGTAGTTTCTATTGGAGCTTAGTTGATTTTTTGTATCTGTTCGTGTTTATTGACGTTGGATCCCCACACATCCATCTATAATAATGATCCGTTTCATTGCATCAGGGCTGAAAATTGTAATCAGTATAATTGCTTCACTCAGGAATGGAGGTTCTAAGTGAACAAAGAGTATTGTTGGTAAAATATATGGATAAGATTTTGGTAATCCATATTTTAGGTTATATTGGCCTTCCAAAAAAGCATAGTATGTAACTGATGATTAAATTTGGTTTATATATGCAAGTTTGACGTTTCATTTAATTGTCACAATTGGATGGATTGTGTTTGGGTGGAGGAGCATTTGATTGGGCAGGGTTGGGGACTAGGGTCAGTGGGTGACTCTCTGGATTTTACCTCATCTATATTATGAGTACCTTTCAAGATCCACGATAAACTTTTTGAGTAAATTTGTTTCCTTTGACAGCTACACCTGAATTAAATACCTGTTGTTTTCTTTCGGCAGATTTTTAGGGGATTGAGAATCTGAACTATGCACGATTGCACACAGATGCATTTCACATGCTTAACAGTGCGCTTCATAGTGTGTACATTATCTTCTGTATTGAATGCTAAGGTTCAACAATAAATTTAGAACCGACAGGCTAGCTCTTGTTAGACACCTGCGATAATATATGTGCATTTGCTGAGATGTCTGTCATTTTTGTTTTTTTTGGTGTTTAGAGAGCCACAAGGGCGGGGGTGAGAATCGATCCCAAGATCTCTTGGGATCAGGATGGAAGTTCTAACCGCTTGAGCTATCCCTCACTCTCATGTTGTCTGTCATTTCTCGAGGGATTTATCCTATGTGCACCATTATGTTGCTGAACAATAGTTTCTAGGGGTGCTTTGATACTTGTGCATAACATTTGAGTGAATAAAGAAATAGTTCCCAGTTCACATGCAGATGCATTTTTGGGGAATTACTCGTAACTAATAGTGATTATTATTGAACATTTCTGTCAATTTACCAGCTTGCCTTCTGATGCAGGCTGCTGATAAAGAACAAGAAGCAACTGGGAGCATAATATCTGAAGGAGACCTCTTTTTAAATGGAGCTGTATCAGGAGTAAAGCCATTGGTGAATGAAGAGACTGTGTTTCATCCTAGCGAGTTTTACAATGACTGGACAATGGAACCACCTACTGAATCCCTTAAACATATTCTCCAGCATTGTACAGGATGGCTGAACATTCCTCGCTTGCCTGAAAATCTTTCTGATGCTTAGTCACAAGCATACACTGTGCAGCAACATGAACAACCAGAACTTTACCATTCTTCTATATATATACACACATACACAGGGAGATTAGTCATCATATGGATATTATGAAGTAGATAGATAGTTCAGTATTTATAAATTCTCCAATGTGATTCAATTCAACCAATAATAGTGTTCATTTGCTGCAAATTAGAAATGTTGATGAATAAAAAACTCGTTCTTGCCATCGCTGTTGTCATGTGAGTCTTGTAACCCAGCCTGAACTGTATGCAAATCTTCTGTGGGGTTATCTCCCTTTTCCTTTTCCTTTTCCTTTTTTGTAGACCAGAGATGATTGAATAGTGAACTAATTATTAAACTATTAGATAAGATGCTAATATGTTTGATTCTTGCACCATGGACTGTCGGCATCTCCGTTTGATTTCGATATGATATGATGCACATTATTTGCCTTTGTGTAAAGTTCGATTTGCATTGCCGTGGGATCTTTCGTTCAATCGATAAGGAATGATGATGAGGAAACCAAATCTGCTACTACTTACACTAGATGAAATTTGGAAAGGCTAAAGGATTCCTCTTAGATAATGAGATGAATTGTAGTAAACCGAAAATTAGCATTGGATTTCATAAAGCTCAGCTAAGAATTTGAAGATGGTATCATTAAAACATTTCTTTCTCGTACTTTAAAATGATATCTTATTATATAATTAGTAAATTGTTTTATAATTTAATAAATTACTCGTATTATGTATTGGTAGATAATAAATTACATTGTAGAGAAAGTTTATTGTCTTTCAGAAACGATTTTGAAAGATATTCATGTCATATATATATGCTCAAACTTATTTAGAAAAGAACTCATTAATACAGACCAAGATCCAAGAGATTATAGGAGATGAGGCTTACAAAACAACTCCAAAAAGAAGTACGTAATCATAAAATCTTTCTCAAAACTAAACACCAATCAGAATTATCCTAGTACTACTCCCTTTTTGTATATTAAATCAATTGTACATTTATTAATGATATCGACAACTAGCATTAACAAATTATAATTTGCTACATGTCTTATAATCATATCATTTCATGTGAGTGACATAATTATTTGAACTAAAGGCATGAAACTACTAAATACGAATCCAATTAGTTAGTTTAATCAAATCTTGTCTCTATGTCCACTTTAAAGTTTGAGATAAGAGACATGTTCGACTAAATCAGTCTCTAAAAAGTGTTTGGTTAAAAGAGAATTTAAATATATAGATTTTTAAATCTAAAAAGTTAATTCTGTCAAAGCATTAATACGATCTTTTTGGTGAGTGGGGTTTGTGGCAGTTGTAGGAAATTGAGTCCATTGAATCTTACTGTCACGGTCCGGGAGTTTGGACCCCGAAACGCGCGGCGCGCTCTAGCCTTTTGGCGGCAAGAACGCTAGCCTTGAGCGGAAGAGGGGCTTGTGAGCACAAAGCAACACAAGCGGGCAATAGAATCTCAGGAGCACTCATGTCTATCTGGGCGACGGAGTGCGGGTGGTCGGGGCTTGTGACGGCCGATACTTCAAAGCGGGCACAAGCGGGTCCGAACCACGAGTCCTTAGCGCATCAAGTTGGGTTGGAGGGGAGCTAATATGCAAGTAAGACACAATATCTATAAAGGTCTAACAACAAACAAGCATAAAAGCAAGGCAACACTCTTCAACCTTAAAGTTGATCAAATATATTTCAAACTAAATTTACTTTATTACCAAGTTTGTTCAAACTAATACTTCAATTCCTAACATATTGTGTATGTGTCCTTAATTCCTTCTTATCAATCATTTTATACAATAAAGTAGTTATCAACAATTTATAAACTACATCACATTATCACTAGGAATCAGCTATTCAAAGTAGTTCAATTCATACAATTAGTTAGTCAAATCAATTAATCCAATTAGTTAGTTTAAACAAATCATACACTCAAGACACAAGTAACAACTAACCTCTCAATGCCAAACTATGCTAGATTATAAAGTTCTTACCAGTCTTCTCTCTCTCTTTTTTTTTTTGGCAAATTTGGTGACTAATCTCCTGCAAGTTTGGGTATCATTTGTGAGAATCGATCCCAGGATCTCCTGCAATCGGGATAGAAGCTATAACCACATGAGCTATCCCTCACTCTCACAGATTTATATATGTAGTATATGTACTACAAAACTTTGTACTAGTTAGTATGTATTAATCCATATTATATATATTATAATATTTGATGTCCTTGAGATGTGAGCATTTTTTTCCTCTAAAAAGGAGTGGAGGAAATCATAGATGGTTCATTGAATTTTGTAAGGAAGTAAACACAACAATCAAAATGTAGTAAGCATGCATGTCATTTTGTGTTTTGGCACTCCCCATAACTTTGATACCCCAACTTGTTGTAATTCTTCTTCTTCTTCTACTTGAGAATTACGTAGTGGGATCTTCATGTGTATAGATATGTGAGGGGCCACCAACAATGCTACGTTTAGGGAGGTTTCACTAGGACGTGCCTTTGAGTTGGCTTCTAAACAGCCAAACTTTGCCGACATTGGCGAAATTAACCATTTTTTTTTTGAAAATTTTAAATATTTTTTTAGACTAATAATTAAACCTGGGCACGGGCCGGGTTGGCCCGCGTGCCGCCCGGCACGGCCCGCCGTTCGGCGCAGCCCGGCACGGCCCGAATTCAAGCACGGCACGGCACGAAGTTCAACTCCCGTGCCACGGGCCGTGCCACGGACAGGGTTGAGAATTCCCAGGCACGACCCGACACGAGCACGGGCATGGCCCGCCGTGATGACCCGCCGTGCCGGCCCGCAGGCACGGCCCGCGGGCCAACGGTAATGTTACCGTTTATTCTAGCTCCTTAATAAGCCAAAAAAACGGCTAAAAATCTGCTAGTTTTTTGCCAATTTGCTCCCCAAAAATTCTATAAATACTCACCTCCATTTCATTCCCAAATCACAAAATCACAATCTCTTCTTCTTATCTCTTATATTCTCTAAATCTCTAATATCCTTATTTTCTTAAATTCTCTAATTATTCTCTTAAATTCTCTAATTATTTTCCTAATATCGAAAAAAATTAAAAAGTTCGTAATCGTAATTAGTGGAGCGTTGAAGCACGGTTGTAAGATCTAAACTAATCTTAAATTTATTATTGTTTTATTGTTATTATTAGAATAATCTTGTTTAATTATTATTGTTGTTAATTGTTATTGTTGTTGTTATAATTGTTGTTATTAATTATTATTACTGTTACAATTGTTGTTATTATTTATTTTTGTTGTTATTGTTATTGTTATAGTTGTTGTTATTAATTAATATTATTGATATTTTTATTGTTAAAATTGTTGTTATTAATTATTATTATTATAGTTAACCACTTTTTATTAAAAAATTAATTGTTAATTATGGCATCGAACAACCCATCATCTAGGTCTAGGGGGAAAGGCCGACTTATCCGTAGTAGTAGTTCTAGGGAACCACCAAATACAACGAGCCCCCAAATTACGAGTCAAACCAATGACCCCATTTACTTCCCCCCGGGCTATGAGCCATATAATACGTCGGGATTTCCAGCACCACCACTAAACCAATTTCCACTACCACCATACCAATTTCCACCTAATTATATCGGTGATCAACAAAACTATTGTTCTAGCCAAGGTAGCCAAGAAAGTACCCGAATTCCCTCCGGTTCTACCCCTTCTACTGCCACTCCCACTAGTCCCACTACTAACCATCACACACATCATGAATGGTTAACCGAAACTGAGATGCTACTTTTGAAAAACCGAAGGAGTGAGGTATGGCGTTATTTTGTCCTAAGTAAAGATGGTGAACAATGGGCAAAATGTAAAACATGTAATAGTGTATTCACAGCAGTTACCAAAAACGGGACGGGACACTTATCTAGACACATGAAAGCTTGTGCAAAACCAGCTAGTGATCCAACCCAGCCCAAAATTTCCCAATTCCATCCATACGGCTTTACATACAACTATGAGAGGGATAGGGATGAACTAGGAAAAATGATAGTACACGCCGAACAACCTTTTCTTTTCTCGGAAAGTGACGCATTCAACACCTACATTAACAAAGCACTACAACCCCAACATAAAAGAATCTCTAGGAAAACCGTTCGTTCCGCCGCAATGAAAAATTTCCTAGAGTACAAAGTCCGGTTACAAGCCGAATTGAGTAACCTTAACTGTAAAGTATCTTTAACAGCCGATTCTTGGGATAGTGGTTATAAATATCACTATTTATGTGTGACTTGCCATTGGGTAGATGATCAATGGATGTTACAAAAAAGAATAATACATTTCAAAATGCTGGAATACCCACACACCGGCATTAACATTGCTCACCATTTAATGCAAGCAATAGACGAATACAACCTTCGAGATAAAATGATGTCTATGACTTTTGATAATGCAACCTCTATGACATACACAACTAATCTTATCAAACAAAACTTAACCGATGTACTATTAGACGGTGAAGCTCTTCATACTAGATGTGTTTGCCATGTACTTAACTTATGTGTACAGGATGGAGTTCGGGCAATTGGCCCATACTACAGCAAAATCAGAGATGCTATTATGTCTATTAATAGCTCTAACATGAGATACCAAGAATGGAAGAGTTTTCTAAAACAACAAAAGATAAGGGTAATAAAAATTAGAACCGATTGCCCAACTAGGTGGAATTCCACCTATGACATGTTAACAAAGGCAATTGAGTACAAGGGCCCGTTAACATTAATTTACAACCAAAAATTTCCACAAAATGCTTTGTATGATGATGATTGGAATAACTGTGAAAGATATATGCAATTTTTACAGTTATTATATAACATGACGTATTGTTTTTCTACTGTTTACAATCCTTGTGCTCAAAACTTTCTTTCTAATGCATGCTTACTCGCCCAACTTTTCGCTGATCATCGCCATCAAAGTGATTATGATCAGTATCTTCCAGCAATGGAAAAAAAGTGGCGTAAATATTATAGTGAGATTCCTTTGATTTATATTTTTGCTTCCATATTAGATCCTAGGCAAAAGTATGAAAACACATTTATGTTAGTTGACATTTACTTTCAATGCATGTTTCTTGACGATGATGTAGAAAACTATAAGACTAATGTGAAGGATCAGTTTTTGGCTTTATATAGAGTCTATGAAGCCAAATATGGCACCGTTCCTCGCTCAGGGCCTTCCCAACCATCCAAAAACGTAAGTAAGAAGGCCAAACATTTATTTTCACAAGCTACTAACTTGATTTCAAGGTTTTCAGGTGATTCATCAATCAGGAGAACGCAAAGCGACGTCTCGGAGTTGCAGATGTACCTGAGTTACGACTTCACCAAAGGCATGGACGACGATGAGATAAACAGCCTCGACCTCCTTGCATGGTGGAAACAACAAAGCTCGAAGCATCCAACTTTGGCGGCAATGGCACGAGACATTCTTGCTATCCAAGTTTCCTCCGTCGCCTCCGAACGAGCTTTCAGCGCATCCGGAAGGGTTTTAGACGATAGAAGAACAAGTCTAAAACCCGAAACACTAGAAATGTGCGTGTGTTTCAAAGATTGGTTGGATGCGGAAAATCGCTCACAAGACCGTTCTTAAAACCACAACGACAACGAAGAAGGAACCTCCGCTTCCGGTTCGGGTTCGGCTAGTTCCCAATCTATGCAACTAGCCGATGACCTTGAAGGCGAAGGCGAAGACGAAGACGAAGACGAAGACGAGCAAGAAGAAGGAGAAGAAGAATAGACAATTATTGTATATTGTACGATTTTAAAATTATCAATTTTATCATTTTCCAATTTTTGTTTAATACCATCATTGTATGATTTTTATCATTGTTATCATTGTACAATTTTCTCAACTCAAGTAATAATAATATAAAGTACGCATTATTCACATCCAAAGTCCAATTTGCCTTTTTTCCCCGTTTTGTTACAATTTGTAAATTCATATTAAAAAAAATAAAATTATACCAATTACTAATAAATCATAAACATTAAATTTTAAAGTAATAGTATAAAGTAAATATATAAATATAAATATTGAATATACAAATTATAAAACATAAATATTCAACTTATAATTATAAAATTCATAACTTAATAACTTATAACTTATAAGTTATAAACTTATAAGTTATAACCTTATAAAACTTATAATTATAATTTTATAACTTATATACATTATAAACTTATTAATTTATAATGTTGTCATATATAAAAAAAAAAAAAAAAAAAATTTGAAAACTGCACCAGCCCGCAGGCCGGCACGTGGCCGGCACTGCACGAGCCCGCCAGGCACGAGGGCCGTGCCGTGCCGTGGGCTGGCCTGTGAAAATGGCCGGCACGGCACGGCATGAAATCCTGGGCCCGCCGGCACGACGGGCACGGCACGAACCAGCCCGTGGCCCGCCAGGCACGGCCCGGCCCGACACGGTGCCCAGGTTTACTAATAATATGTGGTTAACCATTTTTTAAGAGTAATTAAATTAAATGAGGATAGTTGAGCTTGTTCTCGTACATAAAACATAGTCGGTGATTCTCTCATTCCTTTCTCTTATCCTTTTTTTTTCCCTTAATATAGTATCTCTTCTATTGTAGAGGTTTGTTCGTCTCCCTATAACGAAATCGAGTCTCTTTGTGGTAAAATTGTTGATTGTTAGGGTAGTTGTTCATTCTCCTCTAAGAATTATAATGTGTCATAGCTTATAAAATTGTGTATATCTTTTGCATTGAAAAATACTCATTGATAAAGATATGTAAAGGATTGGAGGGTCGCAAAATTTATCAAATATTCAAATACGTTAAGATAATCTGCATGAGAATCATTATCACTGTTGTAATATATTATTAGACCATCTGTATTTTTTTTTAATACTTGCAACACTTCTCTGTTCACATTTACCAATGTACTATTTTAATTGTTTAAATTTTTTTTAATGGTCTTTAATTACAAGTGTGTAAAAATTATAAAAATTTGATATTATGAAAATTTATTTTGAGATGAATATATAACAAGATTTCACGTGACTATATTTTGCTTAACCTAAATCACCAAAGTTAGTTAAAGTGAAATGTGAATAGTGTAAAAGTCAAACTGTTACAAGTAAAAATAAACGACAAAAGTATATTCCAACTATATGTGCAAAACATGTATCACAAAGCAACTCAATAATTGTAGTTTTAATAAAGGAAACTTTTGTTTGATTCGATCATCAATTTACGCAATATATGATAATACAGATGCCCATAATTAAAGATGGTTCTGGGTCGTGCTTGTGCCAGGCCACACACTTTGTGGTTACTTAGGCTCGACCCATGGATTGGTCCACGAGTTTTGTGTCAGGCTGAAATTTCCAAAGGTTGGCCCGTGCACGCCTGCACGGCCTAGGCTCACGTGCTATCGTGCCGAACTTGCTTGCCTAAGAAAAATTGTATTGATTTTAACATGCATTCTCGTGCTGGGCTCGGTTGTGCCGTGTCTTATCGTGCTTCTCCTAAATAAAGGCAGCCCAAGCCTGACCCCATGGCCCACACATACAATAATGTACCGTGCTGTGCTTTTTTTGTGCCTATGCCTTGCTTTTTTCGTGTTGGGCTGTGCCGAGCTTCGGGGCGACCCGACCCAATGTCATCTTTTCCCATAGTAGATTTCATAGGGCTCTTTGTTAAAACATTATTAGATTTTAGTCCAAAAATTTGTTATAGTACATATTCTATTGCCTCATTAATTCAATGTTAATTAAATCCTTAATTTTATAATTAACTAAGGGCCTATTCTCATACGATTGTTTTCAGTTTAGTTTAGTTTAGTTCATTTCAGCTTTAATAAGTTTAGTTTAGTTTAGTTTAGGTCAACTTCTAATTTCCTTTTTTTTTTTTTATAAAATATTCAATTCAGTTCAGTTCAATTCAATGCAACTCTAATAACTTCAGTTCAATTTAGTTCAGCTCATTCTAATTAATGAGAACAAGCCCTAAGTGTCAAATGACATCTTAAGTACGGAGTATAATTTAAAAATTTTAAGTTGAAGTTTTGAAACAAGTGCTAATGTAATTGATATCATTGTTGGTCTACAAGTCAATTTGTCATCTAGTCAGATATTTGTCCAAACTCTTTGAAATTTTAATGCAGATGTTGTTAACTCAAAATTTTCCTTTTAGAACACATACTTTTTTTTTTTTAGTTCCAACACTTTTCTTTTCATGCTCGCCGATTCATTTTTCAATCGTTAATATCTTTAATTATCAATATGTTAAAATTGTAAACATTTGATATTAAAACTGTATAAACCGACACAAATCTAACAAGATCCCACATGACTATATTTTTACTTAAGTATAAACCGTTAAAGTTAGTTAAAGTGAAACACATGAATATTGTAAAAGTCAAATTATTACAACTATAAAAAAAAAACGGAGGAAGTATTAACTTATTTGAACTTAACATATTTTATCTAGACATTGTTACGCTTATTCATTATCACTTACTTCCTGAAAAATTAATTTAAATAACTTTAAATTAGAGTAATATATGAAGCACAAAAGATTAAATTACACTCAAACATATTTTCAAATCAACTTACTAGCATATGAATACTATGAATATAACTTAATGTAGTCATATTAAACATATTAATTATCGGATCACATTCAAATAACGAATTATTTCCAAAATAAATAAAAATATCTAAGAAACCAAGAGACTTAAGGCCTTAGGGGCCAATGGAGGATAGTTAAGTGTCTTGAAAAGGAATGATAATGGCGGCAAAAAAGCCATACTCCCTTCATTATTTATATTAGATTTTTTTTTTCTCATTTTTTTTTTCATTTCATAAATTCGTTAATTTTAATTTTAATTTACTAACTCCCCTTTTAGTGCAACAAATGTCACTTTCACCGCGTTTGTCCCCCTTAAAATTTTATTATCCTTTTCACCAAAACAAATTTCTCTTAAATTTTTTTTATTAATATTAATTAATTAATTAATTACCCCCCAAAAAAAACCTTAAATTTTGATATTTTTATTTTATGCTATCATTAATAAATAGAAAAAACAACTATACAAAAAAGCCTTTTTCCTTTCTCCCTCCTCTTTCACTTTCTCTCTCCTCCCCTTCTCTCTCTCTTGCCCCGGTGTTGATGCCGCCAAAATCTCGACAATGTCGCCGTCCGATGACTTCAACTGATCATTTCAATCGTAAGCTACGCTTTCTCCCTTTTTACCTCTCCTTTTTCATCAATTTCATTTTTTTGATTAATCTTTTTTCCTTTTTTTTTTAAAATTGGATGATCTAATTCGAATTTCGAATTTCAAATTTCTGTTCAATTTCAGGTAAAAAAGAAAAGTACAAAAACAATTTATGATCGGTTGAAATTTTGATTTCTCTCATGATTAGTGAGAGAGAGGTAGTAATTTTTGTTGATCTTGTTATAATTTTTGATTAATCGTTTTCGATTGATTGAATTTGAGCGAATTTTGGATTTTGATATGAAAAAAGAAATTGGGTATTTTTTTTTTGTACTTATATATTGATTATTAGGTTTGATTTTAATGTTGTATATAGATTTTATAATCGTTGAGTATACTTTTGTTACTAGGTGAATAATTGGTGGGTTGATTTCTGGGTAGCATATTATATATACTGGAGTAGTTGTTTATATATATTTTTCTATATATATATATAGTAGTATATAAATATAATTTTTTGGATTTGCGAAAGAGGAAGCGAAATTTGGATTCAAGTATGAGCTTTTGATGATTGAATTGAGTTGGTGTTGTGGAGTTTGAAGGGGGCAGTTGTTAAGTTGCTCAATTTTTGGGTGTAGATATGAGGGGAAATGTGAATGTACCCTTGGATCAAGGGTTTGAAAATGAGTCGACTGTAGGTGTTGCGAATAGCAGATTACGAGGGGGAAATACTGTAAATACTAGTAATTATGTGTCTGTACAGACGGGAGAGGAATTCTCTTCTGAGTTTATTCGTGATCGTTTAACTCCGAAGGTGGTTCCTCCTGGGTTACCGATGGTTCTGAATCAAGAGATAAGGGGTGGATTAAACAATGAGCATGATCGTCAAATGGGTTATGAAGATCTTGCTAGAATCCTTGGAATTCGTAGAGTGGATTCTGAATGTAGTTCTGAGGTGTCTGAGTTTGCCTCTGCACAAGGGTGTCCTCCAGAGGTTGATCATTGGACTCGTGCTGAAAGAAGATGTCACATAGATGACAGTGCTAATGGCCAAGGGGTATGGGAGGACACTGGTGTTTTGAATTTTGATCAAGGCAATCTTGGAGCTAGAGTACCACCCGTTACTATTCCTCATTCTCCTCATTCATACAACCCTTGCGATGTAGGGTCCTCTGATGGCTCTCAACCTGGAAAATTGAGGATTCTCTGCAGTTTTGGTGGTAAAATTTTGCCCAGGCCAATTGATGGGAAACTTAGATATGTAGGGGGAGAGACACGCATGATTTCTATTAAGAAGAATATCACATGGGAAGAACTTATACATAAGACTTCTGGCATTTGCAATCAACCACATAGTATCAAATACCAGCTACCAGGTGAAGATCTTGATGCGCTCATATCAGTGTCTTCCAATGAGGATCTCCAAAATATGATGGAGGAATATCAAGGTATTGAGAAGTCGTGTGGATCTCAAAGACTTCGGATTTTTTTGATCCCTGCAAGTGAAACTGAAATTCGCAGTTCAGGCACTTTACCGCAGGCCAGTCCTGATTACGAATATGTTGTTGCTGTCAATGGTATAGTGGACTGTAGCCCCCGGAAAGCCTCTGGTGAGCAACTAATCATCGAATCAAACCAATCAGGTGCTACATTAGACCGCATTCCAAGTTTTTGTGGTGATTCACCTTCATCTGTTCATCGTTTGGAAATCAAGGATGGTTCTACCTCCTCACAAGGGGCACATGTTACAATGGATTTCTTCAACAATACCAGGTCACCTGTTCAGTCTCCTTCGTTATCTACCAGACCCGCTCAGTCTGGTAATGCAAAGAGTGGTGGCGTGCAATGGTATGGGGATAGCTTATGGAAACACAGTGGCGAAAGCAATAGTTCTTTTGTTCAAACCCAACTACCATCTGATAGTGTATCTGGCAAACCAAGTGTTCCTGGACAAGAGATTATTCCTGAAGCACAATTGAGAAGCGGGGATTTTATCATTCCTGTTACTGATGGTAACCAGAATCATAATGGCAGTCAACCATCTCTGGCTTCAGGCAGAGCTGCTCATCATGAGAGGTATATGTCACAAGTTGATTCTAGAGCCTTCATGCTGGGATCAGCTGACTTAATGGACTCTTATCATGGTATGATTCATGCATATTCAGATTCCCAGCTGCAACAGTATGGGGAGAAGTCCTCGTATTGTTCACAAGAGGGAATAAGCCCCTCTTCTTCATTGCACTTTGCTAATCCTGCAACATCTTCCCAACCATTTTCTTCTCCCCTTCAAGAAAAGGTCTTACCATTGCAAGAGAATGTCCATAATGTCAAGCCTGAAGTACAGAATCAGCTGATGGATCTGGAACCTACTGAGTCCCGTAAAAGAGATGATCTCCCAATTCCACATTATTCAAAGCCTCTGGGCTGCAATTCATATATTGAAGGCACTACCAATAATGTAAATGATAAGTACCATATGGGCTCTGAAGATCAATGTATTCTGAATCCACTTATGCAGAATCCTTATAATTCTAATCCTCTAGGTCACCAGATGACAAACAGGGTTTTAAGCTCTGAAACTCAGTTTCATCAGGGTACAACTGATCAAAATGTGTTCCTTAGTAACCCTGTGGAGAACAAGTTGGTGAATGGTAACTGTTTTCATATTAATGCTGATGCACCAGTGCCTCAAGTACACCAGCCGGTGCCAATGTCCACCTGTGATGCAATTACAGCTTCAGAGGGTTTTCCCAAATGCCAGCCTGATTGTCAACTGGAAAGCACTTCATCTGTTATTGTCAATATCCATGATGATGGCGAGGCTCTTCATAGTAATTTTACCGGAGAATTCGCTGATGAAGCTTTAGGAAGATCTTCGAGCACTATAGTGCAGTCTCGTGGTCATAATCGAGAGATTGATCTGCTTTCTGGTTTGTCAGATGATTCGTTTTTGTCTCTTGGAAAGCAGGCTGTTGTATCCCCATCTTCAGTTGGTAATGTTGACTTTCAATTTGACATGAATTCAACAAAAGTGGCTGCTTATGGAGGGGAGAATGTTTTCCAGCCTGACAATAGCCATCCAATAGAGAAGTTTGAGAAGCTGGAACACCTTAATGGCAATGGCGTGACATTGTCTAATGACATTGGTCGAGTAGAACCCTTGAATATGCATAAGCAAAATCACCTTGAGCCTCTGGTTGTTATTGAAGATGCTTGCAATTATATGCCCAAAGAAGTTGCTTTTCCCTCTGTGCCTCCTCCTGCAGTAGATGTTTTCTCTAATGTTAGCTCAGAAGAGCCAAGTGTGGCAGACGGCGATGGCATTGGCGCAGAACTTGGCTCTGAGGTACCAAATCGTTATACAGTTTGTCTTGTCTGGTTATTCTTTTTTTTTTTTTTTCTTTTTAACTGGAGTTGACTGAAATATTTGCATACCTAGGATTCTAAAACTGCTGGCTTGCATAAGGATGACTCTGTCATTGATGCTGTGATGGCTGAAATAGAAGCTGGCATCTACGGATTGCAGGTGTTCTATTTTTGTTTTGTTTTGCCTTGACTTATTATGTTCTTGTTGAGTTGTAATAAGATATTGTTTGGATGCCATTTTCCTCTTGGTTTGAATATCACATGAACTTGCTTGCTCAGTTTATATTTTCATCCTGTTATGATTTTTGCTTAATGTTGCTGTACGACATCATTTTCTTTTTAACTACATATAAACTGGGTAACAGTTACTGAATGCATGCAAGTATTTCTGCCTCTTTTGTATACTGTTTGATTGATAGATTATAGTTGATACACAGATCATTAAGAATGCTGATCTTGAAGAATTGAGAGAATTAGGATCTGGTACTTATGGGACTGTTTATCATGGAAAATGGAGAGGATCAGATGTTGCTATCAAGAGAATAAAAAAGAGTTGCTTTTCAGGAAGATCATCTGAGCAAGAGCGGTTGGTAAGTTTATTTGTAATAAACTGAACTTCTTTTTACTTAGACACCAAGAATATGTTAGGGAAGGCAAGAAAACGCAAAGGATTGTTTTGGTACAAATTCTATAAATGTAGACATTTGTAGTGTTTTGTGGCTGTGACTATTATATATGAATCGTTATTTTCATTCTTGTCAGACCAGGGACTTTTGGAGAGAAGCACAAATACTTTCAAAACTTCATCATCCAAATGTAGTTGCATTCTATGGGGTAGTTCCTGATGGCGCTGGAGGTACCTTGGCAACTGTGACAGAGTTCATGGTAAATGGTTCACTCAGGAATGTCCTAGTCAAGAAGGACCGGTAATATCTGAATTCAATTGCTGTGCTCCAATTAAACACATATAAATACAATACTTGTATCATGACTCCCCTCTCTCTCTTTCTCCTTTTGTTTTACTTTATCTTATTTTTTGGTTTTTGGAAACCTGGTTGACAGATCTCTTGATCGTCGGAGAAAACTCATTATTGCCATGGATGCAGCTTTTGGGATGGAATACCTGCACTCAAAAAATATTGTTCATTTTGATTTAAAATGTGACAATTTGCTTGTTAACATGAGGGACCCACAACGACCTATTTGTAAGGTACACAGTCTGCACTATGTATATGATTGGTTATACTTCCTCCATTTTTTTTTAGTTGCAACATTTGCAAAAACACGGAATCGTAGGTAGTTTTTGGAGATGAGAGAGATAGAGAGAGAAAAGGGAACCAATGTGATATTTAGAGAGATAGAGAGAATTAATTTAATAAAAGGGAAAGTGATGCATCTAATTTGAAACTTTCTTATTTAGTGATGCATCTAAAAAGTAACAGAGGAAGTTGATGTGATTTTATCAAAAAAATATAGCTGTTTCAAGTATTGCTGTTAGTAGAGCATATTACAAATACACTGAGCATGGTTCTGTATGATTAGAGTTGTATGAACTTTCAAATGAAATCAATTTTTTTGTTAAACCTTGGATATTGGATAGGAGAGCAATTTTAATTTGAGTAATTATTTTATTTTAAGTATACGACCTCTCTCTCTCATGCCTGAATCTTTATTTGCTTCCTTCATCTGATGCCTGAATATTAGACCTATTTCTGCACTCTCCTGTGTCTTTCTCATTGTTTTGGAAGAGTCCTCCTTTCCCTTTTGCAAAATCCTCAAAAGGCTACAATTATTCTCAAGGGAGGTTTTTTTTTTTTTTTTTTTTTTTTTTTTTTTTTTTTTTTTAATGTGAATGTTTGTGTGAAGCATTAATACTAGTTATAAAACAGAGGCTAGGATTGGTTAATTCATCAAGACCTTGTAAAAATGAACTGATCCGAATAACCCAACACATACCTAACCATATCTGAAACTCAAATCGTAGCTGTCCAGCTCCAATTATCGTTGAAATTGTTTAATTCCCTCCGTTCCTTAATGTTTTACCCACTTGGCTTTTGGATAGTCTCTAATGTGCATTTTTTTTACAATAAACTAGTGACTAGTTCGGCAGGTTGCTACTTTTGTAGTTGTGTGACTGATACGTTTTGAAGGCTTTTCAAAAACATTAATAGACGTTTGTCAAACCAGAAGTCGTAATTTACGTGTCTGCTTTCTCCCATTATATTTTTTTAACACCATTGTCTAACCAGATGTCGTAGTTAAATTATATACATTTATTTTCATGTTTATAACATGGTTGATGATTGGCGTAGATGGTTAAACAATCATCCTTCTTATAAGAGGTTGGGTGTTCAAATCTCCCCAGCCTCTTCCCTCATGTAGTCATGTTTTTATATGGAATTAAGTTGATTGAGTAGCGATGTGGTATAATGAGAGGTTGAGTTGGTGACGTGGCGTAATGCAAGAAGATACCGGGTGACATGGCATAATGAGAGGATGAGTAGGTGACGTGGCATAATGAACAAGAGTTTACATGGCACATAAATGTTTTTAGGAACGCTTTTTAATAGATTAGTATAGATATCTTTACCTATGTACTTATGAAAATTTTGAAACGTAAATATCTTGAAAATTTAATCTAAGATAAATCTTATAAGATCTCACACACAAATGTTTTTTCTTGTATATAAGTAATGTGATACGGTCATTTAAAAAAAAAAAAAATTTTTGACTACATGGGTAGTAACTAGTAAGTAGGTAGAACATTAAGGAATGGAGTTTAGATTCGTTAGCTACACTGCTTGAATTGACTTGACTCATTAGGCAAAACTGACTTGATTCAAACGGACATGAACTTAACTCAAATTGAGCAATCAGCAATCCGAATTTAACCTCAATTTTACTTTACATTTGCCGAGCTAATGGTGAGTCATGTTCACATGTTTTTCTTTATTATCATTTGGTGTTGTTATTGTTGGAGAAGGCTTGACAGTGTATGATGAGGCTTGGGTAAATTCTAATGTATAGGGATGGTAACTTGTTTTGCGAGTTCGGTGGTTAGGAGAAGAAGTTGCTTGGGTGTAATACTGTGATGGCTATTTTGTGGAGCATCTGGCTATGGAGGAATTAATGAAATGGCAGTTGTTGTGGGATACACATTGTTAGCTTCTTTATGGGCTAAGGCAGCTGGGTTTTTAGGGGTGTTTTTTTAGGGGGGATACCAAATTGGGCTAATCTGTAGTTTTTGTCCTTTTACGATATGAGGATACCTTGTCTTCTTAATGTGCTTCAGTTTTTGCAGTATTTATAAATAATTTTTCTTTGAAAGAAAGCCTCTCTCTCTCTCTCTCTCTCTCTCTCTCTCTCTCTCTCTCTCTCTCTCTCTCTCTCTCTCTCTATTTGTGATTGGTAGTTAGAAGTGTCCATACAAGGTCAAGTGTTGGGTATTGATCCATACCCGTACGCTTTCTGTGTTATGTCGACATAGGTGTGGTAGCCACATATGACAAGTAGCTGTACATAGATTGTTGGTGAACATATTATGTTTGGTTGCTTACGCCAAACGGTTAATTGCTAGCACGACAACACCATGTCTTTCATAAAAAAGAAGTGAAAGAAAGGTATAAATGAGGAGAGTGTAATTTTTCTGTGGTCTTTAAGGCCCGCATGTGAAGTAATTTTAATTTGCATCACCAGATTGGAATGACCCGCATAATAAACATGTACACAAACAGCCCCGTGCACTTAGCATCCAAAGATTAATCAAAGAAAGTAAGAAAAAAGTTCCAGCCAGGGGGGGGGGTTGGTCAGGGGGAGTTGTTTTTACCGTATTTTTTGGTGTTGGGAATATTGGAAAGTCCCTGAATGTTACTCCATTACTTTTCTTTGGAAATTCCAACAGTGTACTAATTGATTAACAACTGTGTAGGTTGGGGATTTTGGATTGTCAAGGATCAAGCGTAATACATTGGTTTCTGGTGGTGTTCGGGGAACACTTCCATGGATGGCACCAGAATTGTTGAATGGCAGCAGCACCAAGGTTTCTGAGAAGGTTTGAGGAACCCCTATTTTTTATTTATTTATTTTCCTTCCTGTAAATTCTGTAATTCAAGCTAATTGATGAGAATATTATGGGCATTGGCAGGTTGATGTCTTCTCCTTTGGCATTGCAATGTGGGAGATCTTGACTGGAGAGGAGCCCTATGCAAACATGCACTGTGGTGCAATCATAGGTAAATAATTTCTGGTTAGAGATTAGCATAATTTTGTTGACAAAGTTTTTGATATTACATTAATTTCTGATTCTGTTTTGATGTATTTACACCATTTTAGGGTTGACTTCCAAGTCTTCTTAGTTGAAAGTTTTCTAAAACTTTATTGTATAAGAAAAGAACTGATTTATACCTAGAATTAACCTGTGAAAAGGCTTATTGTCTTTTGTAGATCTCCTCCTATGTATTTATGGACGTTTTCTCCCTTGATTAATGCACTTGTTTGAACCCCCCCACTCAAAAAAAGAAAATAAAAAAATTCAATTTTTTTCTTTTCATTTTAGCAGATGTGGCTACTTGATGTACAATATGAAGTGGGGGTATCAAGTGTACTAATAAGTTTGTCTGTGTCTTATTACTTCCATCCTCTATCAGCAAAACCAAACCTTTTTAAAGTCCCTGGCTTCTTCTAGCCTCATTTGTTTAAGGCATATATTCTGTCCATACCTAATGACTTAGTGTCTCTAGGGGCCAAATTGCTATTAAAGCACCTTCATTTCCTATGTGTGCTCATTGCAGAGAGCTATTGGTAATCTGCTTCAAAAAAGAGTTTTTGTATTCGTGTATATATATAATATATATATATATATATATATATATATATATATATATATATATATATAGAGAGAGAGAGAGAGAGAGAGAGAGAGAGAGAGAGAGAGAGAGAGAGAGAGAGAGAGAGAGAGAGAGAGAGAGAGAGTTTTGTAATCCCAGGATCCAGTTCCTGCGCAGCATGCTTATTGTCATTCAGTTATTGTGGAGCCTAGATGATAGTGAACTTGTGATCAAGTCATTAGTTGAAATTTGTGTAACCTTTATTGATCGTAAGAGAATGAGGAGGAAGATTTTTGTGGATGACTATATGGAATAATCACTTTTGGTTCATGTAGCCGACCCCACTTATGGGATTAAGGCTTTGATTGATTCTTTTTTTTTTTATCATTAATTATTTAAATGACTAGGAAATTGAATCAATTGGCTTGGGGTGTTCAAACTAGAAATTGCAACATCACGGGTTGGGGCGAAGAAAATAGGAAACCTATAGAGGATAAATGAATAACTTTTGATGTTTGAAATATTTGCATAGTGTTACCAAATAGATTATTAGTTATCTCATTGCCTAGATGGTCTACTTCCACTTCATATGTTACTTTTCCCATCATTTCCTTTTTACGATTAGTTGAAAGGTATAAGAAAATTAGTGGCTAACTTCTGTTTGGAAATAGTTGGTTAAAGAAGACAAGCTACTGAACCCTTAAAGTGAGACATATAAAGTACTAGTTTTCTGCTCTTTACCTGTTGAATCATGCTGTTGTTTTACTGAAGAAGGTAATTGACACAATTGAGAGGCACATGATAGTATGTAGACATTTTACAACATGCAAATGGAAAATTAGCAGCCTGAGGCTCTGAAGCAGATTCTTGGATTTGTTTGCTGAACCAGTCAATAAGCTTATTGAGAAACTAGCAGTCTAATACTATAAGCTTAGCGTTGATTGGCAAATATTTGATATGGTTTATTTTTGCTTTCCTTTTGTTTTTAGTTGTTATTTTCTTTATCATTTTACTTGCTCCAATTTAGTGGTTGATACTTGTGGGCCTGTTTGGTGAAATTCAATGCAGGAGGTATTTTAAAGAACACTCTCCGACCCCCAATTCCAGAACGCTGTGACCCTGATTGGAGGACTTTGATGGAACAATGTTGGTCAATTGAGCCTGATGCAAGACCTACATTTACAGAGGTTACAAATAGGCTGCGCTCTATGTCTGCAGCTCTTCCATCAAAGGAACATACAAGGTAAGAGGAAAAAGTACATTTAATATGTTTTCTTCGTTAATTGATTGATTATATTCTCATTATGTAATTCTAACATTGCTTCGATATCTTTCAGAACTCTCTCAAGTAGAGGATAGATCCGGCGAATCAAGCAAGGAAAACTTTTGTCTCTTCACTTTTTGTTAATGCTGTAATTTTCCTACCAATTTTTCTTTTGTGCATATTTCTGTGACTTCTGTTTAGGCAATATTTTTTCATTCTTTTGATATAAGATCACAGTATATAGCTGGGCTTATGCCGTACAATGGTTGGTCTACCATGAAATTTTTGCTGAACAAAAATATCTGTATATAAACCTTATACGGAGTAAGCTTCTAAGCTCTAATGAGTTCGTTGAGTTGAGATAATGATCAATGGTGGCATTATAGTATGCTCTTTATAAAAAAAACAGTGTATTTTACTACTACTTGGCCCGTTAATTTTTGTACTACAACCATGGAATTGAAATACGGCAATTCGCCAATTCTATCATTTCATACACTTTTCTATTTTCACCTTTTTTAAATTTTATAAAGGATTTAAAAGTGGTTTCACGATGTTTTGTCAAATTTTCTTTATGCCTTCAATTTTTAAAAAATCTCAATATAATACTTCTTAACGGTTTAAAGCTTGTTCTCTTTACATTATTTTCAGTTTAGTTTTTAATTTTCTTCTCTCATAAAATGTTCAGTTCAGTTAAGCTCTAATAAGTTAAGTTAAGTTTAGCTCAGAATAGGCCCTTAGTCTTTTATAGGTGTCTATCTCCTTATGGTTTTAGAGGTCTCTCAATTATGGTACGCCGTTTATAAAAATCAGTGTATTTTACTCCTTAATTATGCACAAAAAAAAAAAAATTGTTAATAGTGAGTTAAATGTGAAATTAAGGATAAAATGTTGAACACCGAGTCAATACACAATAAATCCAAAAGACGAGTTGACATATTGAACCAATTAATGCTCAATGTACATGTTGCCTTGTTGATATCTTTAATTATACTTTAGTAAAGATTTTTTTTTTTTTTTTTTTTTTGACAAGACTTTAGTAAAGATTATGAAAAGCTAATGTATCAATGTATACGAATTGAGTGTGTAAATAGTATTTCATTATGAAATTTTCTATCTTTTTTGAATATGTATATCTATACTTGTATATTAACAAGCGTTTCTAAAATAGAATATGTTTCACATATCACCTTTTTTAAGTTCGACATGTCAGCAATATGCGCCTCAATACCAACAAGTCTTAAGTTAAAAGTATTACCATCTTAGCCATTTATTAGTTGTGTTTTTTTATCCAACAAAATAATAGTTCACTTAGACAAGACTTAAACTCGAAACCAACAAGTCTTACTATTTAAACAGTCGAATTTGATTAGCAAATTAAACAAGTACAATTAAACTAGCAACTTGGGACATCGTCTGGGCCACACACTAGTTTGTATTGTAAAAAATGCTCCAAATGAAAGTTTGAACACAATCTCAAGTGTTAACACTATATGCCTCACATTAAGATATCTTGTACTTCATGTTAATTTTTGCAAACAAAATATCGCAATGTAGTGAATGACCATATATATATTTTTTTACGCCACGTCGAAAAAGGGTGACAATTCGGGTAAGATTTGGGTCGATTTTGGGTTATGTTTAGAAACTATAAAAAAATAGTGCAAAACTTAATATTATTATGAAATATGAAATTTGGGTGAAATCGGGTCGAATTCAGGTTATTTGGGATCGGGTTGGGTTTGGGTTTCTCTCATTAACTTCGGGTCAAATTTGGGTCGAATTGTTGGGTCGGGTAAGGGATTGCCAGCCCTAACTAAGGGGTGTCCATAATTTGGATTAAAACCGAAATCCAATCCAATCCAAACCGAATTATCAATTCGGATCAGATCCGAACTTTAAATCGGATCGGATTGAGATTTATTGAAAATTTGGATTTTCGAATTGGATCGGATTGACCCTGATCGGATCCAAACTAAACCGAACACCGAAATTTAGAATTAATCAAATATTTAATGGACTGCTGTGTTTTACAATTGGGTTTTACAATTGTGAATCGCTAAACATCGCCCGCAAATTACCATATAAAGCCCACAAATATGATTTGGTGTGACCATTATGCCCATTTTCTAAAATTGAAATAATCTCGGTTTAAAAAATGTGGAGCCGTACTGGCTCGCCGGGGGAGACCGGAGGGCATGCCGGAGATGCGGGGGACGCCGGAGGTACGTCGTCGTCGACGGAAAACGAGGTAAGTCACCGTTAAAATTCACGGTTTACCGTCGGAGTGGCTCCGGCGCCTAGGATGGACGCCCAAACCGTAGCCTGGACGTCCAAGCCGGACGCCAGAACCACCAGAGTGGCGTCCAGCCCAGACGCCCAGACCACCAGACTGGCGTCCTGGCCAGGCGCCACTCTACTGGCTGAGGCGGCCCTGCCAGGCGCCAGTCCAGTGGTTGTGGCAGCCCTGGCAGACGCCACCCTTATAAATTAATTTTTTTTTTCTTTTTTGATTTTGTTGTTGTTTTTTATTTATTTATTTTTTTAAAAAAAAAAATCGAAAATGATTTTTTAAAAAAATTCGAAATGGTTTTTTTTTAAATTAATTTTGAAAATTCAAAATAGGTTTTTTTAAAATTAAGTTTGAAAATTCGAAATGGTATATTTTTATATTTAGTTTGAAAATTCGAATTGGGTTTTTATAAAAATTAAGTTTGATTATATATAATTATGCTTTTTTTTTGTGTTAATTCTGTGTAAATATAGAAATTAAACGTATTATCCGTTAAATGTATTTATTGTAATATATAATTGATGCAGGATGATGGTGGAGACGGAAATGATTACAGTGGGATATTTGGACATGATGGTCCATTCGAAGAAGCTCAACAGGCGATTGATTGGGCAAAACAGGTTGCAATTGCAGCTGGATTTTGCTTGGTAGTAGTAACTCATAAATCTTAACGGGATGGTAGAATGGATCGCATTTTGATATGTGACCGTTATCGCAAAAGAGAAGAAAGAGATTTTCGTACATCCACTCGGTTTGATACAAAGCGGAAAGGTTGTGGGTGTGAGTTCAGAGTAAAGGTTCGACAACTACGGAGTCGTGACGGTTGGGAAGTGATTGGTTACTCTAAATGGGGGTATCACAACCATGAGATGATAGTATATGAAGAGGGTCATCGACAGCTGAGGTCGAAATACCACGGGATCTGACATGTCTATGCCACGACCTCTCCACTGAATAGCTTCTACTAAGAAGCTCTACATTCTTCCCCGCACCATGACGACCCAGTGAATTCTACACAAAATTTTAAAATATATAAACATACAAAAATTTATACGAAAAATAGCTACCACTACCCAAATCAAATAAACTAAAAACATACTAACAAATTAACATAATAAAGAAATTAACAAAACAATTAAATAAAAATAATAGAATAAAAAATACACTTAGAAAGGAAATAAAACCAACACAGAAGAATATATATAAACATAAATAATTCATTCCCAATTAAAATAAATTAACTAACCAAAAACAATATCAATAATAAAATTTAAAATAAATTAACTAACCAAAAACAAACAAATAATTGTAAAAAAAATATAAAACAAATCAAAATAGAGAATAAAAATAAAAATGTACAAAAAAAAACAAACAAATAATTGTAAACAAAATATAAACATAGAAAAAATACAACAAAATTGAAAAAATTTATAAAAATAAACAACAAAATATAAAAATAATTCAAAAAGATATTACACAAAAAAACAAAAAAAAAATAAAAACAATATTTTAAAACAAATATAAAAAAAAAAAAGAAAAAAAAGGGGGGGGGGGGCGCCTTGGCTGGACGCCCAGCCAGCGGTGGTGGCGCCAGCTGCAGACGCCGCCACCAGTGGGCTGGCGCCTGGGCTGGACGCTACAGCCACGGCTGCGACGCCTTGAATAAACGCCACAACGGTGGCTATGGCGTCCAGCCCAGGCGCCAGCCTACTGGTGGCGGCGTCTGCAGCTAGCTCCACCACCGCTGGCTGGGCGTCCAGCCAGGGCGCCCCACCTCCGTCACGGCGGTTTTCCCTTTTTTTTTTTTTTTTTTTTTACAAATTGTACCTTGCCTCCTTGGGACCTCCTTCCCTCCGCCGCCGCCGCCAATTCCTTGCCTTGCCGCCTCGACATTGCCGTTGTTTGTATTTTTTTTTTTTAGAGAGGTTGAAAGAAGATGAGCGATGAGAGTGTGAGTGATGAGAGTGTGAGTGTTTTTTTTTTAGGTCAAGGGCAATATTGTCAAACCAAGTGAATTTTATGGGCTTTATGTAGTAATTTGTGGGCGATGTTTAACAAATCCCTTACAATTAGGCTCTAAACATTTAGCTCAATTACTGCTCGGAGTACTTTTTTTTTTTTTTTTTTGAAGCAACTGAAAGTTGCTACTTGCCTTGAGCCGTATATAGCTTAAAGTTGCTGCTTATACTCTACTGTTATTGATATTTAGTGCATGTAGCTAGCTTAGTAATTATTGTAATGGAAATGATGTTTCCTTTTAGTTGTACTTCAAACAATTTATTTTGACTTTGAAGTTGAACAATTTATGTTAATCAGATTATTTTTAAGAATTGTATTGGACAAAATATTATTTTTATAATTGCATTTTTAATTTATATTACCGTATTAGTCTATTTATTAAAGAAGATAAATGAACGTATTTTAATTCGGATTTTCGGATCGAATTGGATTGAAAAAGTAATTCGGATCGGATCGGATTGAAAAATGAAAAACCGAATTATATTTCGGATCGGATTGAATTTGATTTTTATTCAAATCGAAAACCGAATGGACACCCCTAGCCCTAACATGGGGACATAACCCGGATCCAAGTAGGCAAATACTAGTGATGCAATTAAAAAACAAACACCAACATGAAATTATTCAAAGTAAATCAAAAGTAAAAATTATTTTAAAAAGACCAAGAAAACCAAGTTTGTCCTTACCATTTATTACAAAATTAAATCACCTTCAATAACAAATTCATCAAAGCCCCAATTGGCCAATCCAAGAGCTTCATGTTCACATTCACCAACTTTTCATCTGAGCAACAACATGAAATATAGAAAGATTGTCAACTTCAATAACAATTTCATTGGGTCAACGTCAATTTCCACTCTTTTTCTTGCACATCAATAGTCAAAGGCTACACATATCATTATTGTATGTGATCCCTACATAATCTTAATTTGTCATGCTTTTATTGGTTAGAATTATGGGTCTAAGTTCCATTTGAATTTAATTTATAATTGACTCTTAGTTTTCTCCCTTTTTTTTTTTTGGTGATGTGTCAAATTTCTAATGGTATTATATGTAGGGACCACATACGATGATTGTATGTCTATCAGCTCTCACATCAATAGCTCAACACTTTCTTCTCAATTTCTTTGTAAACTTCGCCAAATTTCCCAAAAATGAAAAATAAATCAACAAAAACTAGAAAAATGTGCTTGTAATCTCTCTCTCTTTACCCACCAAATTTCACATCTTTATTGGTGGGTCATTTCAATAATACAATCTTCATATCTTTATTATTGGTGGGTCAATTTAATAATAACCAATTTTCATTTTTGCCATGTTTATATATAATGGGTATTCATTAATTATACAAGTACATAATTATCACATTTATATTAAGAATAAGAGAGAGAATTTAGAGAATTAGAGAGATGGAGAAGGCGATTAACAGGCAGAAAGTGCTTCTACAACACCTTAATCCCATTTCTCCAAAACCCCATGATTCTACTATTTCGGTAAGTGTTTATTTTAATTATGAATACATTTTGCGTTATCAATGTGTATGGTAAATAATTTTATGACAGCAATTGAGATTATACACGCGAGATCATGATGCCTTTTTTCATGTTATTTTTATTACACTTGCATGTTCTTTTAACAATCATATTTATAAGTTTTGTTTTCATGGGCTTGATTGAATTGGTTGTTATTGGTTTATAAAGTTGATTTTTTTATTTTATTTTTTTTTTATTTTTTTTTTTGCTGTTTGTGCTGTTACTTACAGGAGGATTGGAAAAATGAAGTTATTTTTGCCATTAGTTTTAGAATGTCTGAATTTTGTTGTCACATTGTACCGACCTCTCGTAAAACTACAGGAATGACATGATTTTACAAAATCTCTTTTTTTCTCATTAATTTGATTAAGTATTGAAAGATTAAACATCAATCATTCCAGAGTACTATTGATTAGCATCTACTAGCTTAGCTGTTAAAATTGACGAAGTACTGTAAATCTCAACTAGATTAGTTGGTTAAAGTTTAGAAGCCGTACCAAGACAAGAAATTGTATTTTGTCTGCGTCCACACAAAAAAAAAAAAAAAGAAAAAAAAGTGGAGTACATGATTAGAGTTAAAGTTTATGTTGTTGTTAAACCATATTTTTATTCTCATGATAGTTGTCATTTTGGTTGGACATTTGCATAACTGCATGAAACATTCTGTAGTTAATGACTTCAGGGATGTTGAAAGCTGCTAAACAAAAAAAATTATTCCAAATGTTTTAAGTTTTTGTGAATTTGCTAATAAAAATTACCATAGTTGATTTGAGTATGTTTTCTAAAGCTCCATGTACATAGCCAAACTTGTGCTACTATGATTGAAACACAATAAAAAGTTGCCTATTTGATAGTAACAGGATGAACTTATTTTCTTAATTCCGGTTTGATTTGATGTGTTTGCATCAATCCCTCTATTGAGAACTTAAATTAACTTAGATTACGTTTTGTTTTTACCTTGGGTGGATGATCTATGAACTAGCCTTTGGTTTGCTCTTCTGGAGATGGAGGGATGTTTCCAGTAAATGCTGCTTTCGGAGATGATATAGTAATTGTTGCGTAAGTAAAACTATCATTGGTCTTGGTTGTTGGTGAAAAATGTATCACATTATTCACATATGTTGCCTGTTTATATAACTTAAGGTTTTTGATGCATATATGATCATCTTTTTGTACGGGAATGTTGAATGGTGTAAGAACTTAAAAATTTCAGTTCTAGTGTAGGCTTTATTTTGCAGAACGCACCATTAGAAAAATTATGGCCGAAAGGTTGTCTATTTCTTTCTTCTGTTTTTAGGAAGAAACTTACACTTCATGTCACTGAACAGTGCTTGTCGAACTGCAATCTGTAAAGCAAAACGTGGTGGTTTCAAGGACACACCTGCAGATGATCTACTCGCTCCTGTTCTAAAGGTATACTACTTATAATTATAGAAAAACCTTGTTGAGATCAAATTTTGTGAGGGATTTTTGACCATCAGCTGTCAAAATTCACTACAGGGATTGATAGAGAAGACAAGAGTAAACCCAGGTGAGGTAGGGGACATTGTGGTGGGTACAGTTTTGGCCCCAGGTTCTGAAAGAGCTATAGAATGCCGGATGGCAGCATTCTATGCCGGTTTTCCAGGTTAGTACATTAAAATGATTGCCTTTTGAGGTTTTGTTTCGCCTCCTTATTGCATGTCAACCAAAAACTATTTTGCAAACAGTTTCAGTTTCTACTTCTGCTGAAAAAACCATTTTCTTCTCAGAAATCACTTTAGACCTCTAAATTTCTGAGATGACCGGAAAAAAAAAAAAAAAAAATTGAAGAAAAATATACAAGGCCTTTAAGACTGTCTTGAATTCCAAATTGACATCTGAAAAACATGGTACCTCTGACCTGTCTTCCCTGTACACCTTCCTGTAATCGACTCGAAGAACAGCAGGTTTTACTCAACAAATGCACAAAGTTAATAATAGAAGAGTTGAACTCTGATTAGTATTGCTGAAAGATTTCTTACAAAATTGGTAGGTTTAGTCTACCACTCTCCACTAGCGACTTGAGATCACAACTCTCGTAAGGATTCACTCCAAAAACTCTGCCTGCCTCTTCCTTTCCCCTCTCTCTCTATTTATAATAAAACTTAAGACTATTGACTTAATAAAACTAGCCCCTCTATAGGTTAGTTTATTATACTTCCCTGCAGTTACAAATCATCTTGTATAACCAAAAAATTTGCATCAATTCATTTGCATACCATAGGTTATTATTGTATATCCACAAGCCATTCCATCTCGAAGCTATATTTTGCACGTCCAAAAAGTTGTCATATACACCCATAAGCTGAATCCTTCATAAATAATTCTATTGTGTGGTAAATCGTGGGTCATATAGCCCAATTTTATCAAAGAACCTTTAGTTTATACAAGGGTTTGGCTTGAGACAAGAGCTGGTAGTTTAGGGATGATCTAAACTGGGTATTGAAAAGGATCAACTTAACTCTTAACTGAAAGGAACTCAAAAAACTGTGTGAGGGAAAACACAGAGACTAGCTTGTGTATCCTTAGTCCTCTGATTTGTTCTCTTACCATTTCAAGTTTTTTGGGATGGAGAGACTACTAAAAATTAAAAGGGTATCTCAAAATAATATTCGTTGTCAGGTCAGGACATAATGACAACGGACACCATATTATTACTTGTATACTACAACAATAACGAAGACATAGTCCCAGAAGGATTTGGGTCGGATAACATAAACCGTCATTTGAAACTATCTTTAATGAGAATTGTGAAGAAGTAAATTATAGTTTCGGATTGTTAATACTCTTTAGTTTATGTTACAGACACAGTGCCCATCAGAACTGTGAACAGGCAATGTTCGTCTGGTCTTCAAGCAGTTGCTGACGTTGCTGCCTGCATAAAGGCAGGATATTATGACATAGGTCAGTATGAAACATTTAACCTTTTGTGGTATGGAACATCTAATTTGTTGTTGAATCCCATCCTGCCTTGATATGATTGTAATCTTCTGCAGTATGAAACATTTTTTTGTTATATACTTATATGCCTACACAGGAATAGGAGCTGGAGTGGAGTCAATGACAATTGATCGTGTCGATAGGCCTCGTCATATCAACCCAAAAGTACGTTTCGATATTAATTTTTTGGCACATTAAGTAATTATGAAGCACAGCTGAATTTGCTAGGTATAAAAGTCTTGGAAATCTTTGTTACAGGTAGAAATATTTATGCAAGCAAGAGATTGCCTTCTCCCTATGGGTATAACCTCAGAGAATGTTGCACAAAGTTATGGTGTGACGCGGCAAGATCAAGATCAGGCAGCTGTAAGTTCCATTCATCAATTCATGCATGCTTTAAGCTTGTTGCATCTTTTAAAAGACAAAAATTTTAAATTATTAATGTAACTTATTTTATGTGTCACAGGTGGAATCTCATAGACGAGCTGCAGCAGCCACTGCATCTGGAAAATTCAAAGAAGAGATTGTACCAGTTTCAACCAAGGTAGTATGTAATAGAGATGAAGCTTCTTTATCTTTCGAGACAATGTGTTTAGTTGCTTATTTGTTTATTCTATTGTCTAGATTGTGGATCCAAAAACTAGAGAAGAAAAACATGTAACTATATCTCTTGATGATGGAATTCGGGCAAGCTCTAACATGGTAGATTTGGCAAAGCTGAAGCCTGCTTTTAAAAAGGATGGCACCTCAACAGCTGGTATGTGAGATTGGACCTTATGTAGGGGGTCAATTATGGATGAAGTAAATTGTGATTTTACCTGATTTGTTGTTGCCATTTTCTTAGGTAATTCTAGCCAGGTGAGTGATGGGGCTGGAGCAGTCCTCCTCATGAAGAAGAGTCTAGCAATGAAAAAAGGGCTTCCAATTCTTGGTGTATTTAGGTAAGTTCATTTCTAAACTGCCGACGGAAGCTAAACAAGCAAAATTATACCAGATATTGTAATTCTTTCAATTTATACAAGAATTAGAATTTGTTGCGCGAAACTTGGAATTTATGATTGCAGAGAATTCTTGTAAATAATTCCCTTTGCATTGTCAACCCTTTCTTTCTGAATTTCTTACTGCTAAAAGTTGAACACACTTACCTTTCTTGACCTCTTCAAACTTGTCTGTGCCAATTTCTTTCTTACTTTTAGTTCGTGTTGGTCTGTGTCCATGTCTGTTTTGGAATTTCAAGTGTTTGGTTGCTATCTGTGTATTTGAATATTCGTCCATTGTGTAACTAGCAGCTAACCTATGGCCCTATGCATCATTGGTTTCTTCTTTCGTGTTTCGTTGTATAATAGTATTCTCTGTATAGGAGGGTGAAGTACTTGTTTGTTTTTTTTCCTTCACTTAAGACTGTTTCTTAATTGTGATTCTGGCAATGTAATTAAACTGTAGCCATTGGTTTGGTACTGCCTATCAAGTTGATATTCTTCTCAATCGATGTAAACGAAATCAGAAACAACAATGTATCTTATTTGAAATTTCTAGTTCCTGATTTTCAGTTCTATCCTGTGTTTTAGGAGCTTTGCTGCTGTTGGTGTGGATCCTGCTGTTATGGGGATTGGCCCAGCTTTTGCCATTCCTGCTGCTGTGAAATCTGCCGGGCTAAAGCTTAACGATATCAATCTATTTGAGATAAATGAGGTTAGCACTCTGAACAAGCTGCCTCATATTTTCAGTTAGTTGGTGACTTCAACACCATTTCTCAAATTGGTAATGTCTATTTTCAATGCAGGCCTTTGCATCACAGTATGTTTACTGTTGTAAAAAGCTGAACCTCGATCCAGCTAAAGTTAATGTTAATGGAGGAGCAATAGCCCTTGGACATCCCTTGGGAGCTACAGGTATGCATTTTGGCTTTACTAGAGAAAATGCTTACTGAGTGAGTTAGGCTCTGTTTGGGGAGGGAGGATTTATATCAGCAAAAATCAGTTATACATTGTAAAACCCGGTTATCAGCAGAAATCTAAATCTGATTTTAGTGAGTGAAATTAGTTTTAATCTGTTAAAATAAGGTAGACAAGAACAAGGCCTTGATGATTAGGTGTATTGTTGTACTCAATTCCTACTTTGCTCTTTTTTTAGGTGCTCGGTGTGTAGCTACTTTACTTAATGAGATGAAACGCCGAGGAAGGGATTGCCGTTTTGGAGTCATTTCCATGTGCATAGGTCTCTCTCTCTCTCAACACCTCATGTGTGCTACCTAAAAGCTAATTTAATTTTGTAAAGTTGAAGCCACTAAAATAACCTCAAATTGTCTCTCATAAATTGTGTGCTGAACTTACAGGTAGTGGCATGGGTGCTGCAGCTGTTTTTGAAAGAGGTGATCATGTCGACGAATTAACTAACACCCGTGTTAATTACTAAATGTTTTAGTACGTAGCATAAGGCCTTTATTTCTTACTCTGCCTTCCTTTAAAAGTTATGAACAATCTGCCTATTTCAGAGTAATAGAACTCAGCTGATTTTATTTTATTTTATTTTATTTTATTTTTTTACATAATATTACTCAGATGAGTATATTTGTTAAATAAAGCTTAGTCCAAGTTTTTTCAAATATGTTAGAAATCTTGGCATCTGCCTCTACTGGACTGGCATCTATACAGCAAAAACATCATCAATCCTGTAGGCTGTATTAGAGGAGTTGATATCAACAAAATACTCCATTCATTCTTCTAAATTAAAGTTATTACTTCCACCCTACACTTTTATTAAGAAGAATTAAGAATAATCGTTCTTTTTTTTTAATGGGAAAATACATGTTTCTCAACATGAAAATACTCCGTTTTTTCGCAACCGTTTGAAATAGGAATAGGATTGATTTACGTTGGAACCATTGGAAATATAATGTTATTGGAAATATACGTTGGAACCATTGAAATGAAAATACTTTTTACTTTGTATAGTTTCTAGTACTTCCTCCGTCCCTTAATACAATGCCTCTTTCTCTTTATTATGTGAGAAATAAGGCTCAAAAGAGGCATTGTATTAAGGGACGGAGGGAATAGTAAGATAATGTCTAAGTCATTATTTCAATCTGCTAACTGAGCATGAATTAATGATTACTCAACAAATAAAAATATATCATTATTGTTCTTAATAGCTGTTTGTAGTTTTGAGATTTACAAACAATATAAAAATCTATTGTACCTTGTTTTGAACTATTCACCACCCAAACTCCTTTCCTAAAAATAAACACCAATGCCTCTTTTCTTAGCAACACATAGGAAATTGGTTGTAGAGGGACGGGACAACAAAGGCTCGTGGATCCAAAGACACTACAAGATATAAGATCAAAGAGGGCGATTTAGATTTGTAGATCCAAATCTCGCCCATGATAACTTTTAGGCCAACAAAGACTTTATCACCCTCTTTGCATACTTTTTTTTGTTGTTTATAATTTTTATTTCAAAGTATAAGTGTATAAATTACTTTGTGTTTTATTTATTAGTTGTATAACTTTAATTTAGGTTGATTTTAATAACTTCGATTGGAGTTTAAAATGCATTTTTTGACCCAAATATTACATTTATTACAAAAAATTAGGCAAAATATATTATATCCGGATCCGTTGGACCCATCGGATCTGGATTCGGTTCTCCATTTTCAAATCCAATGAATCAGGGTCGCATCCGAATCCTAGATTAAAAAAAGATCTGGATTCGGGTTCATCAGAAAACATAGGAAAAACAACTAATAGTATTTCTTATACTTTATCTAAGAAATCATAATTCAAATAAAACTAATTTTTATCGTTTTATTTTCTATACTAAAATATAGATGTACGAAACCATATTTCTTACAAATTCAATTTCTTTGTGGTTTCGTATGATAAGAGACAAGAAACTATACAATATGGTTTATTAGGCTTATTTAAAATGATTTTTTTTAGTCATTTTTAATTTTGTAGTAGTGAAAGAAAAAAAAGTAACAAACAAATTATATACAAATCAACTGATGATTTAAAAAAATAAAAAATAATCCAACAAAATTGCCATCAATGTTAGATCAATTTTACATTGTATCCTTTGGATCATTAAAACATGAAATTGAAAGAAATTACTACTTATAATTATAAACACCTCCAAAACGTATTGTTCATATTATTGAATGAAATTAGGCTGCCTCTTGTTAAGGGAGTAAATTCTTAAAGAAAGCACATAAAAGTGGTAGCTAATTTTTTTTATTTTTTTTTTAACAACGGAATTGGAAAAGATTGACATATAGTAAAAGACACTTATACAATAAACATTATAAAGTAGTAAATTTTTTTTATAAATATCTACAAATAAGGAGCATCCAAAATAATCAACTATATGAAATATCGAATGTCACCCTATATTAGGAGCAATTATGTAAGATGAAGGCTATAATAGTGCGAGTAGGACTTTTCTTGTTTCTCGTGAGAATGCCCATGACTAATATTTATAGTTGAACATGTAGGTTGAAAGAAATGACTAGAAGATTTTAGAACTTCCTCAATCACTCTTGTAGCTATAATGTGTACTAGAATTTTCACAAACCATCTTTAAATTGCTTTAAATGTCAATAATTCTCTAGATTATTCTAATGGCTTGCACGTACAAGTTTGAAGATTAATTTAGAGGGAAAAAAAATACTAATTATGCTACACAATCGAATCATTCATAATCGAAATAATCCACCAACTTGTCTATAACATTCAATAAAACACAATTGTAATTAAATTTTGCCCTGTGGCTATACCACAAAAAAACAACCATACACTAAAACATTTGCAAATTAAAATCAATATCTGTCATGCTTAAGTGGATGTACGTTAGTACATACGAACGCATCATATGTCCTCTACATTACAATATGCAAGGTACACACATGCATGTTTTGAATCACTAAATTAAAATCCCATTGTTTCAAAATACACACAACATTTCATAATAACATTGATTTTGTTACATGAAACCTAAGCTATTTAGGGTCATTTAATGGCGAGTAGTGTAGCTAGATCGATCGATTAGCCACCCCTAGCGCACCTAGTAGCTTTTAAGCAACCGCGAGTATAAGGGTTAACCTGGCTATCAGTCAACCTGCCATTTGGATTAGCCTGGCACTCCACAGGTGGATTGGCTCTTTTGCATGGATCCATATTAACGTAGTTTACTTTATCGGTCTCTAATTTTGAATTTGGAATTGATTGGCTATTTGTTAATAGCACCATGCTGATAAATAAACATATATACATCACGAATATTGGCTTCATTTTCTTTTCGTATTATTGAAATAAGAGAGTGAGATTTAAATAATAAGTTAGAATTTAATTAAGCTTAATCTTTTGAAAATAATGGAACCATTATTGTATTTATAAGCATTATATATTAGTGCAATGAAAGATTGTAATAAGAGGTATATAAGTTGGTTGTTTTTAATCCATCAACGTGTTAGATGGTCAAACATTATTTAAATTTCTATTTTTAATTTATTGGTGCAAAAATGAAGGATTCTAAACTCCACATATTAGATACGAATCCATAGGATAAGAAAAATAATGATCCGTCAATCCTTAAAGTTGACAGCCTTTAGAATGAGATAGCATAAAAATTAGAGAATTAACCCCTCACTAATTCTAGCTATATCAACTATCAATATTCAAGACATAATAAAATTTAATATATGTGTGTAAAGCCGTAATAGTATCATCGGTATGTTAGTCGTATTAGATATCATAATATTAGAGATATTGAGAGAATTTCTCTTAATATCAATAATATAATTATCAAATCTTTTTATCTTTGATATAATACAATCTTTTTAATTCTTAAAGAATCAGATAATATAATAAGTGATTTTATAAATATAATATCAAATAATATAACAAGTGATTACAATATATAATATCAATAAATCAATAAAAATAGGCAAATTTGTCAAAAAAACAAAACCTTTTAAATGCACCATTTTGCAAAAAAAAAAAAAAAAAAAAACCTTTTAAAAACTTTATCGTATAAAAAATCCAAAGTTAAAATTTTTTTGTTCAAAGTACCACTAATTCACTTGATTAACCTCTAATATCTTCAAATTACTTTCTAACTCTCACTTAACAATTTAATAATTTAATTAATTTATAAATAAAAAAAAAAGTCACCACCACCACTCTAACCACCAACACAAAAACCACCCTCCTCCCTTTCCTCCTCCCTTGGCAACAACTTCCACCATCAGCAACCCAACTCCACCGCAACGAAACCCTCCCCCTTCCCACCTCCTCCTCCGTTCCGCGCGCCATTGATAGATCTCGAAGCTCTATCAATGTCATCATCTTCATTAACATCACAACTCCGTTATTCCCCTCGTCAATTCTCCCCTTTCTCCTTACCTTCTCAATCAAACCCATTATCCCTCTTCCTCTAATAATATCCCTTACCTCTGCATCGCCTCTAGGCCTGGTTATTGGGTAGGGCTACCCAATGGCAAAAGGGTCGGGCCTAATACTAAAGGGTTTTGACCCTTTAATTTTTTAATGGACAGGGCTTTTATAGGGTCTTATTTTATAGGGTTTTTATAGGGTTTTATTTTATAGCCCAATAATTTAATAATTAAACTAAAGAGCCCAATAATAATTGTAAGGGTCAGCAGTCAGCTACTACCTCTCTTCCATTTTCTCTCTCCTCCATTTTCTCTCTCCTCCATTGAAGCCACTCAGAGTTCTCCATTGAAGCGCAACTTCAGAGTTTTCCATTAAAGCACTCAGAGTTCTCCATTGAAGCGCAACTTCAGAGTTCTCCATTGAAGCGCAACTTCATAGTTCTCCATTAAAGCGCACTCAGAGTTCTCCATTGAAGCGCACTCAGAGTTCTCCATTGAAGCCGCGCACTCAGAGTCTCAGGTAACATCATTTTCTCTCTCTTAATCTGTTATTCAATTTTAATATCTGATTGAAGATCCGGTTTAGGTTATATGATGTGATCGAAAATCAATTCAAATTGGATTTTCTTCTGGGTGATTTTGCTTCTTACTTGAGCTTGGAGAGTGATAAAAGGATTGTGGGTAATTTTGCTACTTATGAGTCTGTTGTTCTTGGTGTTGCTAATGGTGATTTATTTTGGTGTTTTTAATTATAATTTGGGAGTTTTTTTTGCTTGATTATAATTGTGTTTGATCTGAACTCATGGATGAATGATTATAACCCTTAATTTTGTGTGCTAATCATGTCACATATTTTCTGCACTTGTGCCATTGAATGTTTTCATTTCTATATTAGCTACAATTTGAAAATACTTGAATTAAATCAAACCAATAAAGGCTTGATAAAGTATACTATTAATCCATCTATATATTCATACAAAGCCCATATTATCTACTAATATATGTAGTACTTTGAATGAATATAATGTGACTAAGCTGATGATTTAATTATAATTTGGGAGTTTTGCTTGATTTGATTATAGTAGTATAAGAATTGACTAAACTAGCATGATTATAGAACGAGAAAGCAAATGTGGTACTTGTGTGTTGACTGTTAAGGTTAGTGTAGTTGTGATACTACTACTACTACACTGAATTGGAGGCTGGACACTTATAAAATTTAACTATGTAGTACAAGTAGTATTTGTTTTATTACCTTAGCAAAGCACAACAGACCATATAAGATTCTGTTTTCGGATTTTTCTATTCTCCTGATCG